CCCCGCACCCTCGCCAGATGGTGAGAGGGCGAGGCAGGCTTCAAGTCAGAGTGAAAAGTGCCCACATGATGTGGGACTGAGAGCAGCCCAGCAGCACCAGGAGGAGGAGGAGCAGCAGAAGCAGTTTAGGTAATTCATCACACTATTTATTAGAAAAAGACAGTTTTTCATTTTGTTTTTGTAAATACTCCCATTCTCTGGATATAGATTAACTATATCTCCCAAACTCAAGGTCAATGCCCACCAAACCCAGTATTTTCCGTTGGTCATATGAGTTCTGTGTGATAAGTTTGGTTCAATTCCATCATTGGTGGAGTTCAGAATGCTCTTTGATTGTAGGCAAACTATAAATCCCAGCAACTACAACTCCTAAATGACAAAATCAATCCCCTGCAACCCCACCAGAATTCAAATTTGGACGTATCAGGTGTTAGTGCCAAATTTGGTCCCGTGAATGAAAATACATCCTGCATATCAGATATTTATTCATAATAGTAGCAAAATCACAGTTATGAAGTAGCAAAAAAAATAATTTTGTGGTTGGGGGTCACCACAACATGAGGAACTGTATTAAGGGGTCATGGCATTAGGAAGGTTGAGAACCACTGCACTAATGTGTTGTGACACACAGTTTGGAAGGCTCTGGATTAGTGTGTAATCTACAGTGTGTTGCACACACATAACGAGAAACCTCTCAGTCTATTTAAAATAAGCAATAAATCATATATTTTTAAAATTATAAATTACTTATTGTGTCCCCATAAGGTTGTAGCTACAATTTCCGTATGTGTCCAAATCTCTTATAAGGCATTGGTTTAACTACCGTTTTGCTAATAAAACTGAATTACTGTGGTGCAAAATGATGAATGTCTAAAAAGGATGTCACCAACATGAAATGTCATGAAAGTTCTATGTCAGCCTATAGAATCTCATACAATTCTTTGTTGTTTCTGCCACAACAGGGTCAAATGGCAACCTGCCCATCCCCACTACAAGAAAATAAAAACACAAGAATATGTTAAACAACCAACAATTTGACACCCCAGATCATCTTTCAGAAGTGGTCACTTCACTCTGCTTAATGGGAGAAGTGGCCTTGGAATGCTATACAGTTTTGAAAGGAGCATTAAATCATCATCTTGAGGAAAATAAATCTGATGCACCTAGAAGATGGTGAGAGAAATTTCTTCTTCCTCCCAGCTACAAAAAGCCTGTTTTCTAACAGCAACACCTAGTGGCACATTTGCAAAAAGCAAAGGAACATGATCATGCCCTACCAGGACCAGTTTGAAGAGCTGTGTCTATTTAACTTGTAGAAGAGAAGGTTGAGAGGGGACATGAGAGCCATGTTTAAATGTTCGAAAGGCTGTCCTGGAAACTCGAACATAGAGCAATGGGTTACATTCCACCTGAACATTAGGAAGAACTTCCTGACTGTAAGAACTCACTGCCTCGGCATGTGATGGAAGCTCCTTCCTTGGAGGCTTTTAAACAGAGACTAAATGGCCACCTGTCAGGGGTACTTGGATCGTGCTTTTCCTGCCTGGCAGGGGGTTGGACTAGATGGCCCATGTGGTCTCTTCCAACTCTATGATTCATTTGTGATTAGGCAGGATGCTATTTTGTGGTCATTCCCACATGAGTTTCAGAGATTTCCGCTACCACCCCACACCCATTTGTATTATAAATAAGGCTGGACTACATAGTATCAAGGGTGGTATATAAAATAATACAATGTATACACAATGTTCTATTTTCACAATCATATTAAAATGGGAGGGCACTCCTCCCACCCTCTTCTTCCCCAAGATGTAGGACAAGGGGGAAATTCTACCTAAAATAAATTAACTAGGATGCTCTCGTGCTTTCCATCTACAGTAGTTCTTCCAGAAGACAGAAAGCCTCACAAATCATTACAGCAGTTAAGACCATGCAGCGACCGAGAATGAACCAAGTGAGAAATGTGTGTATGAACACTTTGGTAGAAAGCTCCTAGATCTAGCTTTCTATCACCCACACATCTTTGTGAAGACCAACCTGTCCTGATGGAATAACTTTATATAGCCTGTAATGGATCATTTTGCAACCTATGCAAAAACAAACAAACCAATCAACATTATAGTAGTGTCCAGATTGAGGGATAAAATTCTGATTTGCTTAGACCCCATCTGGATTACTGTATACAATTTTGAGCATCAATACTCTAGAAGAATAGGATCAAGCTGGAGCACTTTGAAGGAATAGTTATCGAAGATCTCACAACCAAGCCTTATGGAGAGGAGTTAGGGAGTCGGGTATTTTTAGCTTGGAGAAAAGAAGACTGATAGTTGCTATTATAGTCACCTTTAAATGTATGTTGGACTCTAACATAGAAGATGGATAAAGTATTTGTGGCTGCTTTAGAGACTAGAGCATGATCCAATAGATTCAGATTGCCAGAAAATACATTCTATCTGAACATTTGGAAGAATCTGTTATGATTGCTCCAATCTGTTAAGATCACTTTGGAATCTGATCCTGTCTTCTGGAACATTAGCTCTCCCTCCCCTAATTTGGTATCATCTGCAAATTTAGTAATACATGTACCCTTATTCAAGTCATGGATAAAGTTTGTAAAGTAACAGGCGAGTAGACTAACCAGGGCTTGATCATAGAATCATAGAATTGAAAAAGAGCTGTTGGGCCACCCAATCCAACCCCCTGCCAAGGAGCAGGAAAATCGCATTCAAAGCACCCCTAACAGATGGCCATCCAAGCCTCTATTAAAAAGCCTCTAAAGAAGGAGCCTCCACCACACTCTGGGACAGAGAGTTCCACTGCTGAACAGCTCTCAGTCAGGAAGTTCTTCCTAATGTTCAGGTGGAATCTCCTTTCCTGTAGTTTGAAGCCATTGTTCTGTGTCCTAGTCTCCAGGGCACCAGAAAACAAACTGGCTCCCTCCTCCCTATGACTTCCCCTCACAGAGTGAAGAGAGAGGGGTACAAGGGACAGTTCCATCTTGTTTCCTGCATATGTCATCAGTTGGGGACCCCTCCCCCAGCACCAACTGCTGCTCTGGGCCAGAGTGAAGAGAGGGGGGGGGGGGGGCAGAAGACAGTTCCATCTTGTCTCCTGTGCTATTCTAATAATGTAATGTAATATAATAATATTATATATACATATAATATTTATAATACAGGGTTAGTCAAAATGAATAGGCCAATAAGAAAATTAATTTTAGACGAATGTATGTTTACTGTAACCAAACCACAGCTACGTAGCGACAGATAAACTATCAAAGTTTTTTTTGAGCAACACACATGTACGTTAATGCCGCTAGGCGTCGCTAGGGGTCGCTGTTTTCAAAATGGCGGAATCAAGCAAAGAGAAGGCGTTTTGTGTGATGACATTTGCTAAAACAATGTCAGTAATTACGGTCCAGCGAGAATTTCAAGGGTTAGGGTTAGGGTTAGGGTTAGGGTTAGGGTTAGGGAGGGTTAGGGTTAGGGTTAGGGTTAGGGTTAGGGATAGGGTTAGGGATAGGGTTAGGGTTAGGGATAGGGTTAGGGTTAGGGTTAGGGATAGGGTTAGGGTAGGGATAGGGTTAGGGTTAGGGTTAGGACCTCAACGAACACCTTCCCAGACGTTGCTGCATTCGATGCCATTACGTCGGATGTGCTGCAACGGATGTGGAATGAACTGGACTATCGCTTGGACATCTGCCGTGTCACACGGGGCGCCCATATCGAACATCTCTGAAGGTGAGACAAAACTTTGATAGTTTATCTGTCGCTACGTAGCTGTAGTTTGGTTACAATAAACATACATTCATCTAAAATTAATTTTCTTATTGGCCTATTCATTTTGACTAACCCTGTATTATAATGTAATGCAATATAATAGTAGTAATATGATATTATAATTATATTATATTCCCCTTATGAACCATCTAGAACCTTGACATCGTCCAGAGAGGCTTTGCTCTCGGTTCCGCCTTCGTCTCAGGTACGTTTGGCGGGGACAAGAGACAGGGCCTTCTCAGCGGTGGCCCCCCCGGCTATGTAACACCCTCCCTAGAGAGATTAGATCTGCTCCCTCCCTTCTAACGTTTCGGAAGCAAGTCAAAACGTGGCTGTTTGAGCAAGCGTTTACAAACACAGAGTAACGGATATGGATAAATGATATAGGAAATTGACGATTGACGATGGAACTGGACAATGCTTGACAACAAGGAGACGCCAGTGATGTTGTTTTTATTGCTGTTGTGGTTTATGTAATTGTAATGTTTTTAAATTGTTTCATGATACTGTATATACTGTTTTGTTGGAAACCGCCTTGAGTCGCCGACAGGCTGAGAAAGGCAGTATACAAATACAGTAAATAAATAATTAATAAATAAATACTTATATTACATGTAATATTACTAAATAATGGTATAGCACAATATAGTAATATTTAATACTGATATTGTACTATAGTACAATAATATAATATATTGTATGCATATATATCTTGTAAGCAGCTCTGAGTCTCCGGCGGGGTGAGAAGGGCGGCATATAAATGTCGTAAATAAATAAATATTTATACATGGCCATCATGTCTCCTCTCAGCCTTCTCTTCTGCAGGCTAAACATGCCCAGCTCTTTAAGCCGCTCCTCATATGACTTGTTCTTCAGTCCCTTGACCATTTTAGTCATCCTTCTCTGGACACATTCCAGCTTGTCAACATCTCCCTTCAATTGTGGTGTGACACAAGGCAGAATAGAGGGGTAGCATGACTTCCCTGGATCTAGACACTATTTTCCTATTTGTGCAGGCCAAAATCCCATTGGCTTTTGAGATGCAGGCAGATGTCCCAAGCTGTTGCCCAGGCTTGCCCTTTCATGTCTTGTAGCCACTGTTCACAAGCAGCTCTAAAAGGCTGGAGAAACTACCACTCCCGTCATGCAACGGGGTGCGCCAGGGCTTCCGCCTTTCTTCTTATCCAATCAGCGGCGGCGGAGCGAGGCGTGGGCCAATAAGGCAACGCGAGCTCTCACTGGCTGGCTGTTGGCGGTTGCAATTTGAACGCGGTCCGTGGAAGGAGTAAGAAGCGTGTTTGGGCCCTAAACTCGCTCTCTGGGTGAGTGAACGTGAGGAAGGCTGGTTTCCAAGGTTGGGGAGGCCTTCCTTTGCTTTCCTCCGGTCCCAAGTGTCATACGCTAGCGAGGGGTGGCTTTTGGAGCCCCGAGCCTCTTGGTGTAATAGGCCTCCATTAAAAAGGAGACCCAAATACCATGGCCATGTTCTAGAAGCATTCTCTCCTGACGTTTCTCCTGCATCTATGGCAGGCATCCTCAGAGGTTGTGAGATCTGTTGGAAACTAGGAAAATTGGATTTATGTATCTGTGGAGTGTCCAGGTGGAAAAAAGAACTCTGGTCTGTTGGAGCTGGGTGTGAATGTTTCAATTGGCCACCTTAATTAGCATTCGATGGCCTGACTGTTTTTAGATGTGGCTTGTTACTGCCTGGGGGAATCCTTTGTTGAGAGGTGGTTAGCTGTCCCTGATTGTTTCTGGTGATTAGCTATCCCTCTGAGGATGCCTGCCATAGATGCAGGCGAAATGTCAGGAGAGAATGCCTGTAGAACATGGCCATATAGCCTGAAAAAATCTACAATAACCCACTATCACTGGGTTTTCTTGAGAAGGTTGTTCCAGTGTGCCTTTCCAGAATAAGGAAATTCCTAGCATTATGTCCCAACGCACTTTATCAGAGATTTAGGATATCTGCATGCCCATTCCCCTCCAAACTCCCCACCTTGCCATGCCCAGCACTTTTAATTTTTAATCATTACATTTGGCCCGGCCATTGTTTTTAATTGCGTCATTGGGTGTTGTTAATGTTATTGCTTTGTTTTTTGAGTTATTGCATTGTTGTTGTTGTTGTTGTTGTTTTTATTGTTGTATTTGGGCTCGGCCTCTTGTAAGCCGCACGGAGTCCTTCGGGAGATGGTAGTGGGGTACAAATAAAGGTTTATTATTATTATTATTATTACTAAGTTTGGTTCAGAAGGGAGCTTGCCAGTGCTTTTCTCTGAGGCTGAGAGAGTGTGACTTGTCTAAAAGCTACACGGGCTAATAATAATAATAATACTTTATATATATTTTGCCCTTCTCGTTCATGTACTTCTTAGAAAAAAAGCTATATAGGCTAATTACATTTATGTCCCACTCTTCCTTCAGTGTGTACACACTAGCAAACAGTTCTTCTCCTTTTAGTTCTCCCAGCAGACCAGCTGTTGTGGTGTGTTTCTGACTTACAGCAACCTTAAGGAGAAAGCATCATGGATTTTCTTGGCTTCATTTGAAACTGTCCAAGGTCACCTAGTGGCTTTTCATGCTCAGATTTTAACTCTGGCCCAAGAGTCCTGATCTAGCACCCAAACTGGCTGCCACAGTCCTGCGACATAGTTCAAGTGTTGAATGAGAGATAGAGAGGTCTAGCCATAATTTTACTGTGTTGTTTTCACTTGCTTATTGATCTGGGTGGATGCTGAGGACCAATTCTTGCCCTTAGAGTAGATCACACAACCTGTTTTTTAGACCCCAACTACACTGACCATTTAGTGCAGTTTCAAACTGATATTGACAACAGTGATTTTGCTGTGCAGATAGGAAATCCTGGAACCAGTTTGAGGCCTGGATGGTGATTACACAAACCACATAGCATTGGTGTCCATTAAGGGATTGCTTTGACATGCTTCTTTGGGACATCTTCATTACATGATCAGTGTAGATGGGGCCAGTGTCATAAATAAGTTGGAAGTCACTTTCAGGTTTGTTTGTTTTTTCATGTCAGGAGCGACTTGAGAAATTGCAAGTCTCTTTTGATGTGAGAAAATTGGCTGTCTGCAAAGATGTCACCCAGGGGGCGCCCAGATGTTTGATGTTTTACCATCCCTGTGGGAGCTGGAGCTGACAGAAGGAACTCAACCCGCTCTCCCCAGATTTGAACCTGTTGGTCAACAGTCCTGCTGGCACAAGGATTTAAGCCATTGCACCACTGGGAGCTCCAATGAGTTGCGACTTCTGGATTTGGTATCAGATTTGGTTACTATGCCCCCCGCCCCCGCCCCCAGGCTTTTGAGTTTCTGGGTTTTGTTTTTGTGAATTTGGGGCTTGGAACCTGCACAGTAGTGGTTTGGTGGTATATGCTGCCCACAGACTACAGTTTCCCAGCCTCTGTTATCTCGTACACTTATACCCCAAATGCCTTCCTTGATTTGTTACATACATTTAATTTTTTCTTCTTCTCCAGTGCACGTTAAAGTCCAGGAGTTGAACACGAGATTTGATATCTATGTGTTGTGGGGAAGTATAAATCATAGGGTGCCATGTCTCTGGAAGGGAATGAGTGGGAACTCAGCAAGGAGAACGTGCAGCCTCTGAGGCAGGGGCGAGTGATGGCTACTTTGGAGGAAGCTCTGGCTCAGCAAGATGTTTCTGTCCACCCCACCATCCAGCAGCAAAAACGGTGAGTATGCAGTGGTTCATTCTGGCACCTGCTAGATATTTTGGAATATGACTTGTGAGCTACACATAGTATAGCAGCTGTATCTAATGATTAGAGTTTATGATATCTAGACAGCCCCAGGTTGCTTTCCAGATACAGAGAGTGTTTCATGTGTTACATAAATACAACTACTGTGGGCTTGTTTTTTGAATGGTTTCACTTTGTGTGTGCCTTCAAGTCACCAGACAACTTATGCAGACCCAGTGCATTTCATAGGGTTTTCTTAGATGAGGAATACTCAAAAGCAGTTTACCAGTTCCTTCCTCGAAAATATAGCCTACCGGTGCTGGTATTTGTTGGTCTGCTATCCAAGTATTAACCAAGGCTGATCCTCTTTAACTTCCAGCATCAGAGGGATTATGATGCTCTAGAGTATTCTAGCATGAATTATCTATATACACACTTAAATTTCTATGGGTCCTGACATCTGGAGGAGCACTGATTTCCTTTGTTTTATAGCATAGGACAATCAGTAGGCTATATTATCTATATGATATCCTATCATTTATTGCAAACAATACTTGGTCAGTGATATACTGTGTATAAATTCTGCTTCCTAAACTGGGAAATATATAATGTTATGCTTCAAATTATGTCTAGAAAAAAACCAGAATTGTTCATTTTTGTAGGTGCATTTAGGTATTTTGCTTAAATAAATTGCCTTTAATTTCAGGGAATTTGAATCAGAAATTCGATTTTATTCTGGAGATGATCCCTTGGATGTTTGGGACAGGTAAGCTTTACTTTTTGAATGGTTATATCACATTCCTAAATCTATGTGGCTTTTTCTTGAAATCATAATTATTTTTATATCTCTAGATATATCAAATGGACAGAGCAAACCTTTCCCCAAGGTGGTAAAGACAGCAATCTTTCAGCTGTGTTGGAGAGAGCTGTTAAAGCACTGAATGAGCAGCAGAGATATTATGAAGACCCCCGCTATCTCAACCTCTGGCTAAAATTTGTAAGTTTTCCTTTTTTTCAAGTGTGCTGTATTCCATCTGTCTACTCTTTAAAATAAATAATAATAATGAAACTTTATTTATATACCGCTGTATCTCCCCAAGGGAACTCAGAGCGGTTCCCAGGTAAAAAATCACAGAACATACAAAGTAAAAACAACATAAACATAAGATTAAGAAAACAAAATATGCATAAAAATCGTTGCCATAACATACATATATTAAGCTTTGCTTAGGTGAGCTATATAACATCTTGCCATGAAAATCAATGTGATACTAGCACAATGATTATTGTACTTGTTAAGGTTTTCTTTTTAAAAAAATTATTTAATTATACAAAAAAATAAAAAAATAAACACTCCATACACTATCAATATAAAGACATAAAGCACACTAAAACTACTATATTTTTATATGCCTTCAGCGTAGTCTACTCACTTCCCATGATCTTCATTGTCTACTCATAGTTTTCTTAACCACAGATACATAAATTGGTTCTCATATAAAATAAAATATTTACCAAAAAATCCGCACAAACATTTATTCTGCGGTAGTATCATCTTATATCCGACAAAATTCATTTAACTGCTTCCAGACTCTGCCACAGGTTAACCAATTATAAGTTGTGACGCCATCAAATTTCCTAATCTCACAGTCAAAAGGCAGAAAAAAGATATCAATCTATTAATTCTACTCAGTACTGTTTGTTTCATCTGTGTTCTTCTTTTCACTGCTCCTGGTCTTTTATAATAAAAGTTATTAGTGGGCAATATTTCTGAGCTTTCTTTAAATAAGTTCCCCCGTTGACCTGTTTTTTCTCTTTCTCCCATTTTGTCTTTGGTCAGGTTCCTCCTTGTCACTGTCTGAATGATTTCCCTCTTTTCCCCCACTACTCAAATCTTGTATCATGCCACTTGCCTCTTGTTGTTCTCTTAAACTTGTGGTAATAGTATTTTACTTGTTGAGGCGTGAAGCTCCAGTAATGCTTCTTGTTGTAGAGTAAGCAACCTCCCTGTAAAGAATATTTATGCAGTATTTCCTTTCTTTCAAGTCCTATCGTTGCTTTCTCTCATCTATTGCTTTTTGATCATCTAAATAATCATATTTCTTTTCCAGTTTATCCACACACAATCAAGTCAGTTTTGGATCTATTGTTGCTTGTTTCAAAGTTTACTTCACCTCGGCCCAGTCTTCTCGAAATTTTGATTTCAACAAGTCTAATAAATCTTGTCTCATCACTTTCCAAATCTGCAATTCCTCCACCAATCTTGATGATTCTATTGTAAATTGCAATTCTGCCGGTCCTCTCCTTCTCTTCACTCTGGTTGCCCTAATTGTTTTCACAACTGTCCTTTGTTTACAATTCTTGCAGAGTTGTTCACAGTTTTCTAAAAGTCGTATCTCAAAACCTGGCTCTGATACTGAGTCTGAAATTATGTTTTCTGTAGTTTCTTGCTGTTTCTTTCTTAAAGGAGAAAGGTCAATGTCCTGTTATGCAGGAACACTCAATGCAAGTACTCCTGACTGATGGCCATCCAGCCATCGGTCAGGAACAGAAGAACATAAGTTTTTACCTTCCTCAATATGTCACACTTTCAAATATTTAAACATAGCTATCATATCACCTCTTAATCTTCTCTTCAAGTTAAGCAGTTTTCCAGGTAAGATCTAACCAAAACAGAATAGAGTAGAACAATTACTTCCCATGATCTAGACCAGGCATCACGAAACTTCAACTCCCACAATCCCTAACAGTTGATAAGCTGGTTGGGATTTCTGGGAGTTGACGTCCAAAACACCTGGAAGGTTGAAGTTTGCCCATGCCTGATCTAGACACCATGTTCTTATTGATGTAGCCTAGTCATTGCCCTTTTTAGCTGGTGCATCACACTGTTGGGTCATGTTCAGCTTCTTGTCTAAGACTACTAAATTCCTTTCATATGTACTGTTTTCAAGCCAACTGTCACCCATACTATATTTGTGTATTTCATTTTTTCACCTTAGCATAGTTCATTTCTCCCTGTTGAAATTCATTTTCTTAGGTTTGGCCCAGGTCTCTAATTAGTTCAGATTGTTTTGGCTTCTGATCTTGTCTCCTGGGGTATCCCTCCCAATTTGGTGTCACCTGCAAATTTGATAAGCAGGCCCTATATTCCATCATCCAAGCCCCCTTCCACACAGCTGGATAAAATCCCACATTTTCTGCTTTGAACTGGAATATGTGGCAGTTTGGACTCAGGGCGCCTACACACAGCCCTATACTGTGTCTTGGAATATCAAGGCAGAAAATCCCACAATATCTGCATTGAACTGAACCTGCAAAATTACTTTTGGATGACACTGCTCCCATTTCTGGGAGCTGTGTATAAGATAAACTAAGGTTGACTCCAAACTTGATATGTTTCATATGTTTTGGAATATGGTTATCACTGAATAGGCGGGAACCAGTGCATCAGTAGCCTATCATTCAAAACAAAAATCAAGAGGATTAGAAATATGTTTGGGGTGAAGAATGATACATCAAGAGGATTACAAATGCCTTTGAGGGGATGTTGTGAGATTCTTGAGACTTTTCTCTCATTTTTTAAAGTTGAATCATAATTACTGAATTTTTGAGTTGCACCTTAAGGAGGTATTTGGACATTACAGAGGCTGGATTCTTTCTTGATTCTTACACAGGGGAACTGCTGCAGTGAACCTCTGGATTTATACAGCTATCTCAGCAGCCAGGGGATAGGCACATCACTAGCTCAGCTCTATATCACTTGGGCAGAGGAACTTGAGGCAAGAGGAAATTACAAGAAAGCTGACTTGATTTTCCAGGAAGGGATTCGCTGCAAAGCCGAGCCTGTGGATAAACTTCTATGCCATCACAGGTATCCTAGAGCATGCAATTTGATTTATTCCATTTTTGAACTGTAATCTTAAGATCCATTAAGTGGAGCCTGGTGCAGAATTATTAATTTATCTATTTTAGAGCTTAGCAAGTTATGTTGAATGCGTAAACCAGTTTCAGTCCCATCATTCAGCCTGTCCTTGCACAAACTCAACATTTCTTCCATTCAACAGCACGATTGTGGGTGAGAGACAGGGGCTGGGCTGGTTTCCAGTGTCAAATAAACATACATACAGTTAAACAAGAATTACTTTATTCATACAAAATGCCTAAAATGGACTAGGGATGTGCATAGATTTTTAAAAAATTAAACTTGATGTTTTATTTTTTAAAAACTTCATATAAATTATATTAAGATTAATATTAGTTTTGTGAATAGTTTTCCTCATAATTTATTTCTATACATACTAGATAAAACTAAATGTATATGCTATGTTTCAAAAATTAAATTGAAAGCTGAGTAAGAGACATGCTTTCTTTGGGAACTATGTGCAGAACCCCATAAAAACGATTGAGTAGCAGCCAGAAGGAGGGAGAGAGAGAACAGTTTGACTAAATCTTCACCCCCCAAAAATTATTTAATGCTAAACATGTGAACATTTTAAATAGATGAAAAATTGAATGAAATCTTATGTTTTGAATCAATTTGTGGGCACTGTTGTTCAACAATTGAGACTTTATCTTTGCTGAACTTCAAATCAACTGGAGATGTTCTCATATTTTTTCATTATATTTGTATCTCTCTTCTGTCAGAGTTCGGAATGTAGCTTTTTATAACAACAACAACAACGGATTTCTATTTATTACCTACCTCTCCTTTTGGCTGGTCCTTGACTCTTTTTAATTTACAAAATATAATGTTGCTTTTTATAATCACTTTACCAAAATAGAACAAAAATTAGTGCCTTGAAATGTCCCATGCAAAACAGTGTTTTAGATGTATGAAACAAATTTTACTCATTACATTAAAAAGCAATAATGCTACAATTTATTTTAAAAATTGTGTTATGTATTTGGTACAGTAACATTATAACCTCATTACACGTAACATGTTTTTGTGGATAATGTTCTCGTAACATATTCCTTTCAAGATTTGCTCTCTGTGTGATGAGTAAACTAAAATCTTCCTTCTGGCCACCAGTAAAGCTTTTCTCATGCCCTGTACCTTCTGCACCCACCCATTCACAGTAGGACCTCTGAAGTGGGATGGAATTCCACGGACCTTTCTCATACAAGTAGAAATGCTTTCCCACTTAAATTAAAATGTCTCCGGGTCTAAGCCAGAGGATTTGTGGGATCTTGAAAAAGCAATAAGGCACAGTATAAAATGGAAACCTTATTGTTTTAATGTTTAGGCAATTTCAGGCTCGTGTGTCTCGGCAGACTTTGGAAGGTCTAGAGGAAGACTGTGATGCAGAAGAGCTAATGGGTGCTCTTTCAGCTGAACCCCAAAGAACCACATTGGCAGAATTGAAAGGAAGAGGAAAGAAAACAGCAAAAGCTCCAATCAGCCGCATAGGGAATGCTGTAAAGTGTAAGTTGGCACTTTCTATGAAGCTGGAATTAGTTTTGAGTGCATGTGGTAATGTTTTAACCTTTTTAATGATGTTTTTCAAGTGCCGGGCCAAGGGCAGAGACTCCAAACTCCTTCATCTCAGCAAGCGTCGAATCGCCCAACTTTTGCAGTATTTGATGAAAACAGAGTTGTAACTTCTGGGCCTGAACTTCCAGCACTTGTGCCACAGCCATGGGTTGCACCTCCACCAGTAAAGGCCAAAGAGAATGAACTGCAACCAGGAGCTTGGAACATGGGCAGGGTAAGGACAAATGACACATCTGTTCAGTGCAGTTGAAACATAGAGTGCTCATGTAGGAGTGTTTTAATTTTTTAAAACTTTCCTATAAGGAATTAAAATTATTCTTACTGGTATTCAGTGGAATATAAACAAAATCTCCTTTTCCCTTGACTATTTTTAGACTGCAAACTTTCAGAGGCTTTAAACATTTTCTGGTTAATGACCTGACATTCAAATTGCTTTTGCAGTACTTTTGCAAGCATCAACTGCCTAACATGTTTAATCTTCAGATTAACAGGAATCTGCTTTTCATTTCCTTAGGGATTATGTAAATAGCACTGTTGCGTGCAATTATGGGATGAAATAACAGATGATTAGCAAAGTAAAATTGCTACGTTCTCTTCTTGCATTCTGACCCATTTTACAATTGTTGAAAAAGCCAAATTACAACAAAGGAATTTGGATAGAGGATAGCTCTCTTTTCGGCCATGATTCTGTTTTGTAAACCTTACTGAAATAGGCTAAAGAGTTGAAACTGATCTGGACACAAGCTTTGGCCCATCTGTTTTTATAAAAATAACTACGAAGTCTGTATTAAGTAGCAGTATTGTTCAGAACTGACATTTTAATATTTATTTTTTTATAATGCTATTTCTACCAAAGGCAGAATATCAAACATAGACATCAGATACAAAAGCAGGTAAACCTAACACTATAACCATATTTAAAACCCCAAACAACCTACCAGCCATCACTCTTACTAGCAACTTCAGGCACAACTTGGAAACCTAATCAAGTGAATAAAAGAGGAAAAGATGATTATATGTGTGTTGTTTGTGTATGTGTGTCTTATATATTGTCAGTGTTGCTTATTTTTATTGTAAACCGCATTGAGTCGCCGCTTCAGGCTGATAAATGCGGTATACAAATGGAGTAAATAAATAAATAAATAAATAAATAAACATACAACCTCTTACAAAAATAGGGGAAGTTCTACAGCTAGAGGGCCAAAGATGTGGAACCAGATTGTAACGTGCAGCATTGACAGAACTCTGCACATTGGTGGAACAGACAATAATTGTATTCTTTTAGGGGCCTTTCAAACCCCTATATCCCAGAATATCAAGGCAGAAAATCCCACATTATCTGAGTTTGGACTCGGATAACCCAGTTCAAAGTAGATATTGTGGGATTTCCTGTCTTGATATTCTAGGATATAGGGCTGTGTGGAAGGGCCCTTAGAAAACCGCTTAGAGTCGCCGTTGGCTGATATTTGCGGTATACAAAAGGAGTAAATAAATAAATTAGAAAAGGCCTGCAGCTCTACTGGTGTTTGGCCCTTCAACCCCCAGAAGCACTAGCCAACTTTTTCAGTTGTCAGGAATCCTGGGAGCAGAAATCCAAAACACCTGGAAGGCCATAGGTCGAAGAGGCCTGATTTAGAATTTCCTAGAGATTATGCATATTATGCCAGTTGCACGGGGAACATAGAGCTCTAAATATGAAGACAAAAGTTTGAAATGATCTTTGGCCTGAACTGGTAACCAGTGAAGGGATCTATGGGGGGAGGAAATGTGAATATTTAGGAAAATTTAAAACTCCCAGACAAGTTGGTTTTTTTAAAAAACATGAGTATATCCTACCCCATATGTGATGGTAGTGTTGGGGTTCAGCCTGATCCTGATCTGTGTGAACCGGATTCTCTGATAGTTTTTCCAACTGAGCAAACTCTCCCTGACAGTGTGGAATCTGTTGTTGATGAGGTCAGCGGCGAAGAAAGTGAAACTGAACAGCTGGAGGAAAATGTTTTGAAAGCTAGCCGTGATATCTCTCCACCTGGGTTTTTTAATGAGGACCGAAGAGAACAGATAGAGACAGAAATGTTTCACAGTTTCTACGAAGGTCAAATCATTTACAGGAGAGACAGGCCCAGGCTTCAAAGTCAAGGGGCGTTTCAAAGAATATCTTCTTTGGTTTAAGGGGCCTCCTGCCGGGTGTCTCTTTAGATCAAGCAACGTTTGGGACTGTGGCTGTGCCTTGGCAGAATTCCTGTGTTCCATGGCCGGTAATCCCAGAGGCTTCTAGTTTTCAAGTTCATGGTTAGCGAGAGGCTAACAGGTTCCTGGTTCTTGTATTGTGGCTTTTGGAATTTTGCTCAAGTTCAGAGATTCTACTGACTGCTGTGTTTCTATTGTGGCTTTTTGACTTTGCATTTACCTTTCTTTTGTAACCAATTTTTCATCAATAAACAAGGATTGTTTTTCCTACAGTCCAGTGTGGTGGATTTAATCTTATGGTCTCGTTTCTTGATCTGGGATGCAACAGGTAGGCTTTCAACGGTAAATATTAAGGCAGAAACATCTTCAAGGAATGAGGTTGTAGTGACTGAGAGAGATCCTATACTCCAATTCCTCTTCTTCAAAGGTCCCATACTGAACTGGTGAAAAAACAGCTGGAAGTGTATTAGAACACTATGCTAGCTGCAATTGGGTGCAGTCCCTGGGGCAACTGAATTATTTCACAAACACACAGGGGGCACTTTCTGTGTGTTGCACAGAAAGTACAACACACAGAAAGTGTGCATTGAACAACTATGGGATCTAGCATGGCTACACTAGTGTGTAATTATAGTATGCTGATAGTATATACAACCTTGCAGTTCAATGTGTTGTTGAAGGCTTTCGTGGCTGGAATCACTGGGTTGCTGTGAGTTTTCCAGGCTGTATGGGCATGTTCCAGAAGCATTCTCTCCTGACATTTTGCCCACATCTATGGCAGGCACCCTCAGAGGTTGTGAGGTCTGTTGGAAACCAGGCAAGTGAGGTTTATATATCTGGAATATCCAGGGCGGGCGAAAGATCTTGGTAGTTGTTCTCTCTCAAGCATGGTTCTTTTTCTAGGGATGGGTCCAATTTCTCACGGCTAAATAGTGTATGACTTTCCACTCTTTAAGCCTTGGATATGGCATATCTAGTTATTTCCAAAGCTTGTGGTCAAGATGGATATTCTTTACCTTGTTTTGCATGACAAAATATGTTGTAAGGCAACACTAATCAAAGTGGTGCTACATAAATTGGTATCAGTCCCTATACACCCACTGCCAGTCTTGGAGAACTTACAGAAAAGAAAGAAGTAATAATTGCCAATGGGCACAATCATAGTACTTCTCCCTGGCAAATTGCGGAAGAAATGCTGTTCCCCAACCAGATATTGTAAGAAACACCAGTATTAAATATACTCTAATTTTAAAACAATGGTAGAGATCATACTGTTAATCTCAGAGTTACTGATCTTAAATTGCTTCTGAAAATACTCAATCTTCTATGTATATTTTTAACTTTAATTTTCTATAACTAACCAAGGACGGCATTTCATTATCCTTCAATATAGTTGGAAACTATGGTTTGCATCTAGCTACTGTAAGAACAAATGCACTAGTGAGGTTGTGGTAAACCAATTTGTAAATTAGGGAGTGCAGACAATTATAGCTCTTTGCATGTAGTTTTCCATATCTCCTATCAACCCTATCCAGTGATTAAACTGATGAGACCTCAAGTTCAAAATCATTGAAGGGGCCAGAAGTCGCCATCTTTGACATAAGGGCCTGTTTGATAGAAGAACCCAAAGCCAAACAAATTCATTGAAAATCTGATATAGGTTCTTTTTTCCTTTCTTTCTTTCTTTCTTTCTTTTATTTTTTTTAGCGTCCTCGAAGCAACATGGATTCTACTATTGCAACTGCTGTTATGGTGCCCAGCTTTACACCGTATGTTGATGAATCCCCTCAGCAACAAGCCATGTAAGCATTATGCCTTGACCTCTGTTTCTTTAATTATGAAGCAAAGAGAACCTCCAAAATCTGCCATGGCAACAGGTTCTACATTGACTTGAAACCTAAAGAGATGAAGATGCTGTAACAGCTCCTAGACAAAGAAGAGCTTGAGTTTGCTACATTTTTTTAAGCTTGATAAACAGTCTGTGAACATCATTGTGACCTAAAATAGTAAGGAAAAAAACATACGTTTTGCTTCAATTACTGACTGATATAGTAAATTTTGAGTTTGAGAATTATATGCTTACTTTTTTGCTGGAGTAGATATGGCCATTTTTTCATATTTTTCAGTAGTTCTGCTTCAATCTTGTAGCAAATCTGTTTGAGAAGTAATTCTAATTTAGAACAGAAAATACTATCAATTAAAAGTTTCAAAAACAAAATCTTGACCAGATCAGACACAGGATCTGAAGCTGTAATGTCAATATGAAGCAGACTGTCTGCCCACCTACACTGCCATATAATGCAGTTTCAGAATTAACTGCACTGAATTAGATTATATGAGTCTACACTACCATATAATACATTTGTTGTTGTTCATTTGTTCAGTCGTTTCCGACTCTTCGTGACTTCATGGACCAGTCCACGCCAGAGCTCCCTGTCGGTTGTCACTACCCCTGGCTCCTTCAAGGTCAAGCCAATCACTTCAAGGATACCATCCAGCCATCTTGCCCTTGGTCGGCCCCTCTTCCTTTTTCCTTCCATTTTCCCCAGCATCATACTCTTCTCTAAGCTTTCCTGTCTTCTCATTATGTGGCCAAAGTACTTCATCTTGGCCTCTACTATTCTTCCCTCCAATGAACAGTCAGGCTTTAGTTCTTAAAGTATGGACTGGTTGGATCTTCTCGATTCCAAGGCACTCTCAGAACTTTCGTCCAACACCACAGTTCAAAAGCATCTATCTTCCTTTGCTCAGCCTTCCCTATGGTCCAGCTCTCACATCTGTAGGTGACTATGGGGAAGACCATTGCTTTGACTATGCGGATCTTTGTTGCCAATGTGATGTCTCTATTCTCCTTTTTATCGAGATTGGACATTGCTCTCCTCCCAAGAAGTAAGCGTCTCCTGATTTCCTGGCTGCAGTCTTCGTCTGCAGTAATCTTTGCACCTAGAAATACAAAGTCTGTCACTACCTCTATGTTTTCTCCCTCTATTTCCCAGTTGTCAATCATTCTTGTTGCCATAATCTTGGTTTTTTTGACATTTAACTGCAACCCAGCTTTTGCGCTTTCTTCTTTCACCTTGATTAGAAGGCTCCTCAGCTCCTCTTCGCTTTCAGCCATCAAAGTGGTGTCATCTGCATATCTGAGGTTGTTAATGTTTCTTCCAGCAATTTTCACCCCAGCCTTGCATTCCTCAAGCCCCGCACATCGCATGATATTTTCTGCATACAAGTTGTATAGGTTGGGTGAGAGGATACAACCCTGCCTTTCCCAATCTTGAACCAGTCTGTTGTTCCATGGTCAGTTCTTACTGTTGCTACTTGGTCCTTATACAGATAATACACTTAAATACACTTAAATGCAGTTAAATTGCATTCTAAAATTGCAATATATAGCAGTTGGGATGGGCCCTGAGTCTTGTAAAATAAACAACTGATGAAAAACATGGCTGGTGTCTTGAATCACATGCCCTTCAGTTTGGTTGAGCTGAGGTGCATCTTTCTGCAAAGGCCCTTGGTATTCTGGGAGTTTCATTGCTAGAGTAGAGATAGTCTTGGGTCCAAGTTCCTTCTGTTGCCTTGTGCCACTCCAGGATTTAGCCACTTCCTTACAATGTCCTGGGCATTTTGAGAAACAAACCTGACAGTAACTACAACGAAGTTACATTTCGCTACCCTAGCTACTGTATGCTGGCAGTGCTTTGTTGGAAGTAGTAAACGTATTCTGCATCTTTGTTCCCTCCTTATTTCCCAAGAGTATTTACTTTTTTGCTGTATGTATTTTTAAAAAGTGATGTGCCTTTTTTCTTACAATAGGTGATTTTCCTAATAATTAAATCATATATTTGATTCCATCTTCACTTGTACATCTGTTTTTCCCTCAGGACTCCTTGTAAAATAGAGCCTAGCATGAACTGTGTCTTAAGTGTCAGAAAGCCTAAGAAAGAAGATGATCCGCTACATCGTGTGCAAAGCCACCAGCAAGATGGTCAGGAAAAGAAAGAACAGCCAATGTATTGTAAAGAGAAAGTGTATGCTGGAGTGGAAGAATTCTCCTTAGAGGAGATCAGAGCCGAAATCTACAAAAAGAAAGCAAAGAAGAGAAGAGAAGGTATCTATTAAGACATATAGGCATAAATAGTAAAATCCTCCAGTGCTGCTTAATGTCAGTCAGCATTAGAAATGTTTTAGGCAAGAGTGTATTCATATCTTACAAAGGTTGCCATAGTCAGTTTCATGTGGGTTTAAAAAGAAATCTATTCAAAGCACTTATGGATTATGCTGAAAGTCAAGCAGATTCCATGCTTTCATCATAAAATGGCATATCTTTAAAGAATTCTCTCCCAATGAGGGCTTTAAAAATAAAATAAAAAGCTGGGTGAAGCATAAAGCAACTTTTGTTGACTTTTGTTAGTCTAGTTCTGAATAAGTGTAATGGTTTACCATGGGGTTGTTTTATTTTGAACAGTGATCAGAGATAGAAAGTGAACATACTCAATAGTTGAAAAAGAACATGGAATGGTGTGTGTGTGTGTGTTTGTGTGTGTGTGTATTCTTGCTCACTAATCCCGAATTTCTTTGAAGTTTCTGTATAATTTTGTATTCAATGCAGTTGCAATGCATGTGTAAAAATAGTAATACACTTTCAGTTGCTTCAGTTCTGTTCCAGAGTGGAATGAAGCTGTCCTGTAAAAAAAAAATCGTAGCCTTTGTTTATATCAGTGTTTCTCAACCTTCCTAATGCCACGACCCCCAACCATAAAATGATTTTAGTTGCTACTTCATAACTGTGATTTTGCTACTGTTGTGAATTGTAATGTAATTATCTGATATGCAGGATGTATTTTATTCACTGGACCAAATTCGGCACGAATACCCAATATGCCCAAATATTAATACTGGGGTTGTGGGGAGGTTGATTTTGTCATTTGGGAGTTGTAGTTGCTGGGATTTTTAGTTTAGTAAACGTTTTTCCCTAACATTAAGTCCAGTCATGTCCGATTCAGGGGGTTGGTGCTCATCTCCATTTCTAAGCCAAAGAACCATAGACAAATCCATGGTCATGGGGCCAGCATGACAGCATGGAATGCCATTACCTTCCCGCCAGAGGTACCTATTGATCTCACATTTGCATGTTTTCGAACTGCTAGGTTGGCAGAAACTGGGGCTAACAGGAGGAGCTTACTCTGCTTCCTGGATTCTAACCTGCGACCTTTTGGTCAGCAAGTTCAGCAGCTCAGCACTTTAACCAACTTTGCCACCGGCAGTGGGTTAAACAATTAACCTACAACCAGTTGATTAAATAGTTCACCTACATTCAAAGAGCATTCTGAACTCCACCAAACATGGAATGGAACCAAACTTGGCAAACAGAAGTCCCATGATCAACAGAAAATACTGGAAGTTTTTTTTTTGGGGGGGGGGGGGGGGCATTGACCTTGAGTTTTGGAGTTGTAATTTACCTACATCCAAGTAGAGCACTGTGGACTCAAACGATGATATATCTGGACCAAACTTGGCACAAATACTCAATATGCCCAAATGTGAACACTGGTAGAGTTTGGGGAAAATAGTCCTCGACATTTGGAAGTTGTAGTTGCTGAGATTTATAGTTCACCCCCAATCAAAGAGCCCCTTGAACCCCGCCAACGATAGAATTGGGCTAAACTTTCCACACAGAACCCTCATAACTTGAAGGGGCTCGCTGGCGCAGGCCTTCCTCCAACGTCACACGCTCTCCCACACCTGCATATGCACACCACTGCCCTGCGCCAAGCATGCCTGATCTCCCCTTCCTGCTTGGAGTCTCAGAAGTAGCCCTCCCCTTGGCTGAGAGGCTGGCCAGTCACAGTGGAGAAGGGCTTTTGGCAGGAGGATTCACTGTCTTGTTTCCAGAAAGGAAGAGAAAGACAGGCAGAGAGATCTTCAGCCTTCTCTGCCAAAGGGGCTCCTAAGACCATCAGAAATATATGTTTTCTGATGGTCTTTGGTGACTCCTCTAAAACCCACTAGCAACCCCCAGGTTGAGAAACACTGGTTTATACCATGCTATTTCCTTCTTAACAAAGAAATGGGTTAGAATTAGGTATGATTTTAGCTGTGTTTTGTGCTATGAAGAACATGTGTTACCTTCCTTTTCCTATAGAAGAACTACAGGCCTTAGCACAGAAAAAAACTGAATTACAGAGGGAGATTGAGGAAATTGAGAAGGTGGTGAGAGAGCAGCGAGAAAAACATAAGGAAAAATCAGATGGACAGGTAATATCTTTGACTTTGGGTAGGCTATTTGTTTGTAGGAAATATTAATCATCAGACTGTAAAGAGAAAGCCATGCAACAATGATGTTGGTCCCAATGCTGTCCAGGCAGAGCTACCTCAGTTAAAGATTAATTATGGCTCACTTCATCTCTGGATCTTCCTCCTCCTCCCTCAACAAACTGCCCTCAATGAGACTCAATGAACTGCCCTCAATTTAATATAAACTAGAAACCCAAAAACAATAAGAGCAATGTCCTCTACTTCTTTTAAAAAATGCGTGTCATGTCCTAATAAGTTTCCGGACAATGACACTCATATTAATTGCCTAACATGCTTGGGAGAAGCACATCTTACTCAAACGTGTACCATCTGCAGGGCTTTTACGCCCCAAACAAGAAAAAATAGAGAATTAAGGCTAAAAGCTGCTCTTTATGAGCAAGCCCTTCTCCCTCTGGCAGAGCGCGGGGAAACCACCGATGCCTCTGAATAAAACCAAGGATAAAGACTTACCTGACAAGACAACAGTCATCCGCCATTAAGAAAAATAAAAATAAAACCAAAAAACTCAAGCCACATATTCCCTTGCGAGAATGCAAAGCGGCTTCACAACAACCAATATTTAAAGAAATATCAGCGAATGTAGCCGCCTCAGGAGAGGAAATAGCGGCTACGGGCCAGAGGGCAACCCCTCAATTGCCCACCGATCTCTACCCTCGAGATCAGGCTAGTTTACAGGCCACAGAAGCCTCACCAGCACCTCCTGACTTAATAAACTATGTTTACAGGTAAGCAACCTATATTTCTTAAGGCACAGACTTCAGCTCCAATTGAACTCCCTAGCAATCTTCTACTCAAATTGTTGTGGTTTAGTGTTTTCTTTAGTTGAAGTCCACTCGGCTAGAAGTATATCTTTACTGGGAACCTTCTGTTAGACGTAATATCTTTGTATATTCAGGAAATGCACTGTTACCTTCGTTCTGATCCTTACTTTGGTTTCTAAACCAAATTCTGTTTCATACTGAGAAGATGCGCAAACCAATTGTGCAGATGTGGATGATTATGGAGGGAATTAATCTCAGGCCTCAATTGTGTATAAGAATATATTGTAGAGGAGGCCAATTATTAGTTGTAAATTAAGGTAACTGCCACCAACGTGAGGTATTTGAGGTATCACCGATGAGATCTGGCTCTACAGACGCAGGTTAGATGAGATGAGACGGTTTTTAACAAAAGATAACAAGTTTATTGTGTACAAAGCATATGGTTGCAGGCTGTTAAAATAACTTATAGAACTTTGAATATCACTTGGTTTGTAATATAGTCCACTCTTTCAAATAACACAGCTCGTGGCCAACTTTTACTGAGGTGAAGCTCTTTAGTGAACAATGTTTCCCACTATAACTAGCCTTCAAATCTCTGATCTCTAGTCCTTCCTTGACTAGGGATCATAACAGGCTTCCCTTTTCTTGACTAAAGAAACTGGCCAGGTTTCTCTCTTCAGCCCTTCTAGACTGAAAAACCTCCAGCTGCTCACACACACCTCTCTCCCAGGCTTTTCAAGCCTCCACACTCTCCCACACACACTGGCCCTTTTTTAAAGACGCCTATAATTTTTCCTGCTTGGCTCCGCCCACATCTCACTCTCCTGAGCTAGCCTGCCTGGTCTCCTTGGCAACGCTCACTGTGGATTCAAACCAGATAACTCTAGTTTTAGCTACTGTTACAAACACAAATATATACTCTAACAGTTAAACACATACATAGTATCAATGACTTCTACACACATACCTCTAGACTAAAATTTGGAGATGGTTACTGACTAATTGATCTACTTGTTTCTTCAATGTTCACAGCATGCAGAGAAGCAGGAACCTGAAGTCATTTCTTCTAACTTGGCAGAGATTCTGAAGCCTTCTATAAGAGAAGAACAATGTGCTCCGATGGATTCCAAAGTATTTGTTGAAGGATCTCCTTCGGATTGTTTTTTCTTGAAAAGGTAGTGTGAGAATTAGTTTTAAGGAAAATATACTTTTTAAAACAATGTGCTTCTTTTTGACACAGGCTAGGCTATTTGGGAGAAAAATGGATTTGTTGAGAAAACTTTCAGTGACAGAGAGGTGTGTTGTATTAACGGGAGCTGCGCTCAGGGAGCATACAACTCCACTGTTGCGCCGGCTTAACTGGCTGCCAGTTTGCTACCGGGCACAATTCAAAGTGCTGGTTTTAGTATATAAAGCCCTAAATGGTTCTGGCCCAGCTTATCTATCCGAACGCATCTCTTCCTATGAACCTTCCAGGAAGTTGAGATCGTCTGAGGAGGCCCTGCTCTCGATCCCACCTGCCTCACAGGCACGTCTGGCAGGGACGAGAGACGGGCTTTTCAGTGGTGGCCCCTCAGCTGTGGAACTTCCTGCCTAGGGGTGTTAGATCGACCCCCTCTCTCCTGATCTTTCAAAAAAGAGTGAAAACTTGGTTCTTTGACCAAGCGTTTGGAACTTCAGCATGACCAGATAAACCCAAATTGGAATATGAAGTAGGAACGGCTAAGACAATGGAATGGTTGAGGAACTGAACAAGAAGACATAGTTTTTATAATTTTTATTGTTTATTGCTTTTATGGTTTTTAAAAGTATTATGATGTGATTTTGTGCTTTTAACCGATGTATGTATTTATATGTGGCATCTGATTGTTGCCAATTTGTACGCCGCCCTGAGTCACCTTCGGGCTGATATGGGCGGGATAAAAGCGACACAAATAAATAAATAAATAAATAAATAGTTATGTTTTCCCCTCCACTTTAGCAAATGTTGTTTTTGAAAACATATAATGACATAATCCTTGTACTTTTTAAAAATAGCAATCTGGAACGGGATGAAAATGTTCAACACAAGAAGTCAACCTCAAGCGGTGAGTTACATTTGTGGGTTGCATAATTTTTTTCTGTCTCTGATAAGAAGAAGTAGAGCCAAATGATGTTAGCTTTACTGATGGCATCCAACATAATACTCTTAATAATCTCACCCAAGTCAGATTTAAGCATAATAAAAGCAAACATTTATTGTGTTTTGGTAAGCAAACCATTGCACCATATTGCTGTCCTGCACTGGAAGAAGCCAGTAGCTCTCTAGGAGTGTGACACTGAAAAGGTCACCACCATACTACGTCCCTTATCTGCTTTCATGTGTGCACTAATAATTTAACTTTCCTGTTGGCCACTGCTCCTTTTAAAAGAATCTGTACCGAGTGGTCAATGGATATGAGAACGAAATTTCAAAGCAGGCTTTTCAGATCTCATCATTTTAATATATGCAGTATAAAATACTCTTTCAGTTTTTTCCAAGATAATAAAATGTGTTTGTTTTCTCTTCCAGATTCCGATATCCCCCCTGCAGTGACTGCTTCATTACCTTTCTCTATTTTTGATGAATCTGTTTTAGAAAATGAGGGAGCCAAGTAAGTACTTAGAGCAGGGATCCACAAACTTTTTAAATGGAGGGCCAGGTCATGGTTCCTCAAACTGTTGGAGGGCCGGATTATAATTTGAAAAAAGCATGAATGAATTCCTATGCACATTGCACATATCTTATTTGTAGTGCAAAAAAACCCCCACTTAAATGAAGTACAATGTTCTCAAATATAAAATTATTAGTATTTCAATGGGAAGTATGGGCCTGCTTTTGGCTGATGAGACAGAACTGTTGTTGTTGTTGTTGCTGTGTGCTTTTATGTTGTTTCAGACTTAGGTTGACCCTGAGTGAGGGCCGGGTAAATGACCTTGGAGGGCTGTATCCGGCCCCCGGGCCATAGTTTGAGGACCCCTGACTTAGAGGGTTTAAGAGTGTATATTCCGTTTTATTTCAAAACACCTCACTGAAGGTATTTTATGTTTAGATCGGTTTCAAGATTGAGGGCTAATGCTTGGCAGTCCCATTTCTTACAGCTTTGTTTTATATACCTCTAATTGTTTCCCCATGCTTATATTATCCTTTATGAAAGTAGTGGTTGAATAGTATTTCTTCAGGAGGATCTGCCTTTGTCTTCAGTAAGAGACATAGGTCCAAGCTATGAAATATTTGAACGGAATAAACTTGTTTTATCATTATAAGTCTAACAGCATGGATGTTATTTTTATTTAGTCTTTCTGCTGGCCCTTTGGTTCATGCCAGATGTCCTCTTGCTGTTCGTAAACCTTCAGAAAGTACTATCGCAAAGGAAAATGTACCTCCTGAAAATTCTGTAAGTTCTTCCAAGTATTTTTTTAAATATATTATATTCTTCAATTTTTATAATTTCATTTTTTATTTTCCATTTCAGTATCTCCCCATTTTTTCCGTTCTATCTAGATTGATCTTACTGTATTTCAACAATTTTCCTTGATATAATATCTTATCTTCCCTTTCGTATATGTTTTTATTTCTTCCATCCCACATTTAAAAATCTATTTATTTTAATTTCTTCCAAATATTCAATTTATGTATTCCTTTTCCAGTATTTTCCATATACAACAGGTTATCCCACCTATCCACCATTGTTAGTATTTCAAATGTAATTCAATCCTTGTAATTTCAGTTTTGTCTCAATGTATCCCTCAAGTTTTCCTTTTAATCAGAATGGATCAGACTATATTTCACCAATATTCTTCCAAGTGTGTTAAGATCTGTGTATAGTGGGCCCTTGATGTCTACTGGCATTTTGTTCCAGGACCTTCCAATGGGTATAGGTGCTCAAATTCCATTATATACAATGGCACAGTAAAATAATATCCCATATACAAAATGACAAAATAAAAATTTGCTTTTTGGACTTTTAAAAAAGTATTTTCAAGCCATTGATAGTTTAATTGTTGGATACAGAGTCGGTGAACGTGGAAGACTGACTGTACAGCCTACCCATGAACCTTTTCAATGAAAATATAAGCATATACAGACTTACCTTCCAGGGAAAACCGGATTATAAAATGCTAGGATACCAGAAATGAATAAACAATTTTGTTTGATAAAAGAGAAATCAAATAGATATATGTTTAAATGGAAACTTTGTGTATTTTATATAAAAAAGAAACAGAATGTAAAGTTACTTGTGGGATTTGAAGATTTATAAAAATGAATGAAATTAGAAGATAGATGAAACTTAAATATATTATGGTAAGTGGGATAACATAATGGTTTGTAGGGTTGGAGGAGAGGGAGAAAGTTCCATAATCTAAAAATAGCATTCTTTCTGGTCACTCAATAAATATAGTCTAGCCATTTTTAAATTGGCTGGTTGATTTGCTGCATTACACTTCTGACTCTTGTCTGGCACCTGGAAGAAAAGAGTCTGAGAATAAATAAAGGAATATGGGAATTTGGAATTTTCATTCCAATATTATTCTGAACAACAAAATCCAGTTTGACCTTCAAGATAATGTTATAAAAACAAACTATGCTGTGAGTATACAACTATTCACTGTGGTAAATATAACCATAACTTGCATTTTCTGACTTTAAGCTTGATATTTCTGGTTAAACTATGGAACCTGAGATAAAATGAGGAAAGCAAATATATTCTAAAGAATTCTAAGCAGCTTGAATTTTGTAAAAAAAAAACTTCAATGCAGAAATGCAGTGTTGGCTGTGCTGATATCCATCCCCCCTCTCTTTTTTCTCTCTCTTTAGCATGAGCCTCCTGAAGCAGAACGCTTGGTTGAAGATGCAATACTCACAGGTTCATACAAAAATAAAACCCTCTGCCCAAATCCTGAAGATACCTGTGACTTTGTTAGGGCTGCTCACTTGGCATCAACCCCTTTCCATGGGATCATAGAACAGAGAAGTCAGCTTGGTGACAAAGAAAAGGGTGAATGTCAAGGATCCAAGACTACATTGCTTATGCAGAAAATGGTTGAGAATGATGATCCGTATGCTGAAGCCCTCTTTGTGAAAAAGCTGAGGTCAGAGCTGAGCACTTTACATGCATTCTTCTGATGGTTCAGTGTTTCCACGGTGTCCTTAATCGGCTCTACCTATTGACATCACAGTTTGGATCCAGTATATGAAATTGCCAAAGTTTCCTGAGACTAGGAGCAATAATATGTTAGAATGCTTCCATGTTAATTTAGACCAATCTTTCTACTTATTCAAATTAAGCAGGGTGACGATCTGACCTGCTGATATCTACAGTTTCTAAAATCCAATGCATTACAGGGATTAGAAAGTGAAACAAGATCAGAGAAGATTCATGTTCATATCTAAATTCTATGAAGCTTGTTATATGACCAGGATCTCTCATTGTCTTGTCAGTCTAACAGCCACAAGTGCTGTTGGGTTGCAACTCCCATTATCTCCACTCCATATGGCAGATAATCAAAAGCAATGAGGTTGTCATTCAGTAACTTTGGGGGCGGGGTAAAGAACACCAACCGCTATGTAAAAAATATATAGTTAGCCCTCTGTATTCATATAAGTAATATGTGGCCCTCAATGAAAATGAGTTTGACCCCTCTGGGTTAGAGACACAGGACCCTCATTAAAGTGAAAAACTGCAGATACAGATATTGCTTCTTTGCTTCTTTTTCTTTTGATCTGACCATAGCATCGCATTGGAGGACCCAGGAATTCCCAGAGAGGTATTTTCTCTAGAAATCTCTAGGTCCTCTAGCATGACTGGAGGAAGATGACGATAGAGTTGCACTAGAGGACCTAGAGATGCCCAGAGATTGTAGTCAAATTAGCAAAAATGGAGAGATGGCTATAATTTGTTTTCCTTGTAGAAACAACAACAAAAATTCTGCTCACTAAAAGAATCTGATTTAAATTCATTTATGTATGCAAGGTTGATAGATGCTCATGGAGTCACTCAGGTGCAAACCTAATTTGTCTTCTGCAATTATCTATAGTCCAATTATGGAGGCAAGTCAAGAAGATACAAGGTCTTCTGCATCTTCAACTTCCTCATCGCAAATATCCATTAAATTTCAAAAAATCCCAGAGACACTGGAGTTGGCTCATATTTCCAGTGATGACATTGCCAGTGATGCTGAAAATGGTTCTAGTGAGTATTTAATTCGTATAATAATAATTAACCCACCTCTCTCTGAGGCTTGAGGTGTGGTACAACATCATTAAAACAAGAGTTAAACACTATTAAAACACATACCACAAGGCACACATGGTTAAAATACAAATTAATATCCACCAATTAAATGTAGATTAAAATTCACAAGTTAAAACAGGCATGCTAGAAGAGTTGTGTCTTGAACCCTGACAGCTGATTTACTTGTTGAATCTCTTCTGGCAGGCCATTCTATAGTCTTGGGGCAGCCAGTGAAAAGGTCCTCTGAGTGATGGTTGACAGTCGGGTTCTGGCTGGTTGGAGTAGCCGTCTCCCAGAGGACCTAATTTTCTGGGAAGGTTGTATAGGAGAAGGTGTTCCTGTAGGTAACCTAGACCCAAACTATGTAGGACTTCAAAGGTCAAAACCGATGCTTTGTACTTTGCCCAGAAACTAACTGGCAGCTAGTGAAGTAACTTTAGTATAGGGATTATATGCTCACGTTTAGATTTTCTTGTAACTAGTCTGGCTGCTGTATTATGAGCGAAGTTTTTGAACATGGTACAGAGATAACCCAATGTAAAGCACATTCAGGATTTCCTTTCTAACTCTTGACTTATTACATTTTCTCCGTGAATAGAAGTTTGGGTTGTCTTAAAAGTTGTTGTACTAGATGGCGTAGATAGCATCACAAATGGTATCAAGTAGCTATTGATGCAAAAAGAGAAGTTAATAGACCAATGATCCATTAAGGCAGCAAGGTATTCCATGGTAACATGTATCTGACAAAATTCTGGAATAAGTATTTTTAATTATTAAATTGAACTGTGTCTGGGACAGAAAACGGATTGTACCTAACATCAGTTAAAATTTGATCTAGCAGACTTCTTACCTATTTTTCCAGATTACTCTCCAGTTTGTTCCGAACAGCGCAAATTGCTATTGCAACCTCTCTTGGAGAGATTGACAAAATGCCCTGACTTAATATTAGAGGCACAGCCAATGCCTTGGATAGAATTGGAAAAAGAAGTTCATTTGGGTAAGTGTGATTAGCAGTCTTCAGTTCTGCTAAGATCTTTTGAAACATGTTTGTGGGTTGATTTGCATTGATGTTTCTTTTAGATATGAAGACTTTTGTTAAGGCACAATTATTTCTTTTCTCCGGGCTGTCATGCTTAAGTTTGTTATGGCTGCTATATGGAGGATAGAGTGGTCGTTAGCAAGTCTGAATCTACCTGATACTCCCTGAGTATTGAACACTTCTTTTTCCTTTGGATGAGTGCTTTTTGCAACATTGCTGATGCTATCTAAAATTGGTAAAAGTGTTTTAAATGGAGTAGATGAATATTATAATCAGGATAGACCCTGAATGCCAGCAGTTGGCCCAGTCAAAATTTAAAAGCACATTTATCCCTGTTAGTTACTCTAAAGAAATACTGCCAAGGCTTTCATGTAGTGAGGAACACATGAGGTTTAACATTTTAATTTTAGAACACAGAGTTGCATCCCTGTTCTCCAGAACTGCATCCATTAATGGAAGAAATGCCCCATGCTTGATCAAGTCTACCCTGGGTTGAACTACTGGGACAGAAATTGAGAGGTGCAGAGAAAAAGGAAATGATGTGCAGCTTCCATGCAACATTGGATGTAGTCCAGTAACTTGAATTTTGTAAATGATATATAAACACTGTTCTGTGTCTGTCTTGAAGCCTATGATTTAGTAAACTAGCCTTTTCCTTACGTAGTCCCTGCGAATCATACATTTGATACTCTCTGCGCTCGTGCAGCAGCATTCAGAACCTTCCAAAGCAAAAAGAATGACAGTTAGATAGGCCACGCCCCCTTCCCCTGGTATAAATAGCCCGTGGGCGGGGCCAACCGTCAGTTCTCTTCATCCGCGCTGTTGAAAGCAGCTGGAGAACCTTCTGTTCCTGAGCTACTGTATTGAATAAAAACAAACCGCCTTTTACCTGCAAGAATGGCTACGAACTCATTCAAAAAGTGCGCTAAGTGCCCTAATATACTCCCAGATAATGACGGGCACGATCTCTGTCTTGCCTGTTTGGGCGAGGCTCACCTGTATCAATCCTGTTCTGTCTGCCAAGCTTTTACTCCGCAGACAAGGAAAAATAGGATTTTGAGATTAAAAGCGGCGCTCTATGAGAGAGCCCTTTTACCATCGGCTGAACCGATAAAGATTGATCTGCCCCAAAGTGAGACCCCGTTGACTCTTAAGAAAAGGGTCAAAAAGCCCAAGGCGAAAATAACACAAGATGGCCGATCGACCGTTAATAAAAAAACGGTCACTAATGGGGCGACGGAGAGTTCGATATCGGCACGCCATACTGCTGAAGCCCCTCCGATATCGAAGGAAAGGAGCGAAGTGCTCCCCCTGCTGGTCAATAAGAGCGCCGCTATGACTCCTATGCAAGAGAGGCACGAGGGGGAGCCGAGATCGGCTAAACTTACCCCTCCGATGCCGATCCTGCTCCCAAACAAACCTCCACCCTCGGGTGGAAAGGGTGCTCCGGTATCGGAGATTGTGTCTACTGGCCCTCAAGGACAAGCGGCTGCAAACGAAAGCTTTCTCTCTTCTTCTATTCCCAATGCCGAGGTCGAGCTCGGCGAAGGGGCAAGGCGTGTATGCACAGCCCAGCCTGTTGCCGCGACATCGACGGAGGAGGCGAGCCATGCAAATGAGGCTCCGCCCGCTCCCACGGAGATCGCGGAAGAAGGGAGGCGGGCAAGCGTGGCTCCTCCTCCTCCTCCTCCTTTTAGGGAAAGGGCTCTACAGCTGGAGCCGAAGGAAGGAGGGAGGCAGGCGAGCATGGCTTCTCCTCCTCCCTTCATAGAAAGAGCTCTACAGTTGGAGCCAATTGATGAAGCTTCTCCAAGTACAATGGGGATTGCTGGAACAAATTCACCAACGCGTGTTTTTAGAAAGGGAAGCAAACGTCCCAGACGTTCGAGGTCCCCCTCAAGACTTAGCTCACGATCTCGCCGCCGCCGGGATCGAGGGGACTCGAGACGAAGAAACCATAGACGCTCCCCATCATCGTCTTCATCTACATCATCCTCATCATCCTCTAGCTCTCCTTCTCCGCGGTCGAGGCGATCGAGGCGACAGAAGCGTCATAGACGCCACTTTTATCCGTATCCGCCCCCTTGGGGAAGACACCCCATGGATTACTATCCTCACCCAAGATGTTATTGTGAGAGTTGCATAGAACAGGGCGTGCCTATTCAAACTCCTCATGCTTCAGGACATAGACAAAGAGATCCTCTGCCCCACGGAGGGACTCCTGGACTGAGAGTGCACCCTGCTGACGTAGAGGGTCCCTCCACATCAGCGGCCGCTGATGTCAGGTCTCGTCATATGTCCCGTGATACACAAATTCAATCTCCATCCCCATCTGCTGTGATGGCTGCTCAACAATCTGCTAATGGGGAGAACGCTGCAAATGGCATCTCATTGCCAACACAGGTGCCAACTGGATCTGTCAACAATTTACAAGGTGATGACCCTGCATCCACTCTGGCACAGGATGTATCAACCCCTCAATGTTATGATTCTGCATCTCAAGTTGAGGGAGTGCAACAAGTGTCCGGGCACATGAACAGTGCATCGGAGGACTCCGACGTGCCAGACTACCTTTGTCAGGGAGACAATGATACAACTTCAGTCATACAATCTGCTGAGTTTAATAAATTCAATGCTCTCATAGGGAGAATGATTAAAGCCTTGGATCTCCCTGCTCCTAAAGCACCGGAACACGTGGATGATCCGATTCCCTTCAGAGGAACAGGTTTCATCCCCTGCTACTGTTCTACCTGTGTTGCCATATTTGTTGAAATTGGCACGTATAGTTGATGTATCACCTGCTCTAGTGCCTGCTGTCCCAAGAAGGCTTGATGTATTGTACAAAATTGATATCTCATGTCATAAGTGGGTGGTTGCTCCCCCAAAACCCAACACAGTAGTGGTGGAGGTTGCAAAAACAAAACGCCCTAAAAACACCCTTACTGCCCCACCAGATAGGGAGGGGAAGAAAGTTGACACCTTAGGTAAAAAGGCACATCTCTCCGCAGGCCTTCTCACACGCATGGCGCATTATGCTGCCTATCTTAGTGGTTATCAGAGTTTCTTATGGGCTAAAATGCTGCCATATATTGAGATGTTACCGGTTGAGAGACAGCGTTTCCCTAAAGCTTTGCAAGCTGAGGCTGTTGTTTTATCTAAAACACAGAAGGATTTCGCAAAGCACCTTGCAGAGATGGCAGGGAATTTATATTCGACAGCTACCTCAATTAGACGCCATGCTTGGCTACGCTCCTCAAATCTATCTGAGGAAGGAAGGGCTTTAGCTGAGGACTTACCCTTCCATGAGGAGGGTCTTTTCAATCCTGACACAGACGTCAGGATTAAAGAGAAACAGGATGTGCGACAGGCAGCGAATAAGTTCGGGTTTACATGGCAGCCTTATTCCCAACAGAAACAACGTTGGCACCCTTATAATTCGAACTTCCGGAGGAATTCCGGAAACTCTTTCTCTGGAACAAATAGAGGCCGTAATTTCTCCTCTAATAGGTTTCAATCTGGTAGGAGAAATCCCTATTTTTCCAGAGGAAGGTCCCAAAACTGGACAAACAAAGGGAAGCCACAGGGGAATCCAAAGAAGCGTCTTTGACGTCTCTGTCACTGACATGTCATCTTTTGGGTCTGAGGTCATTGAATCTGTGGACGTTGCCAGAGTTCCTACTATTTCTGTTCCGACTACTTCGCAGTTATGTATGTTTGGTGACAGGTTGTCATCATTTTATAACATGTGGGCCCAAATTACCACTGATAAGTGGGTCTTATCTATTGTTGACCATGGTTATGTTATTGAATTTCTGGACCTCCCAAGGGTAGGTCATGTTCGTAGTACTCCCTTCTCCCAACCATTATGGGACGAAATTCAGATGTTGCTAAGTAAGGGAGCTATATCTCCTATTAATGAGGTTGATGTTTCACGTTGTTTTTTCTCACGTTATTTTCTTATTAAGAAACGCAATGGTGGCTTAAGACCCATTTTGGACCTCAGATCGTTAAATAAACATGTTCAACCAAAGAGGTTTCGCATGGTCACTCTCAATACTATTTTGCCCTTACTATTCAAAGGAGCTTGGTTTGTCACCATTGATTTGAAGGATGCCTATTTCCACTTATCTATTGCCAAACACCACCGGAGATACCTCTCTTTTATGGTGGGAAATGACCCATATTGTTTTAATGTATTACCTTTTGGGTTGTCCTCTGCCCCTAGGGTATTCACTAAGTGTATGTCTGTTGTGTCTGCTTACCTACACACAAGGGGCGTGTCTTTATACCCCTATATTGATGATTGGTTAGTGGTGGCCGACTCGCGTGCCCTGATTCAGTCGCATCTTTCTATTGTTTTGTCTCTTATACAGTCGTTAGGACTCGTGATCAACATGGAAAAGTCGGCTCTGACCCCATCTCAACAAATCCACTTCATAGGCGCCCTTTTGGATTCCACGACCGAGAGGGCCTACCTTCCGGACGACCGTTTTATCAATCTGCAGGCCCTGGTCCATCAAGCTATTTCTGCTCCATGCCTTACTGCCAAACAAATCCAGACACTGCTAGGTCACATGGCCTCTGCAACTGCGGTAGTACCGTATGCCAGGCTGCGTATGCGCCCACTTCAATCCTGGTTCATATCGGTATACAACCCGCTACTAGACAGTCAGAACACCCAGCTGTCCATTCCCGAGTCTGTCCGTCATTCCCTTCGGTGTTGGGGGGACAAGGAGTGGGTGTGCAGAGGCTATCCTTTTCATGCTCCCAAGACTACTTGCATAGTTACAACAGATTCTTCCCTCTCGGGGTGGGGTGCTCATACAAAAGGTCTCACCGCTCAAGGAGAGTGGACAGAAGAAGAAAGAACATTCCATATAAATCTTCTCGAATTACTCGCAGTAGACAGAGCGCTAAAGTCCTTCGAGAAGATCGTAGAGGGTCAGACCGTCCACATTCTAACAGACAACACCACAGTCATGTTTTATTTAAACAAACAGGGCGGCACTCATTCCCTCCCCCTGTATCTCACTCTCCGGATTTGGGATTGGTGTCTGGAGAGGGACATTCACCTGGTGGCAACGCATGTTCCGGGGGAGGAGAATACTCTGGCAGACTCACTCAGTCGGAATCCTCTTGCAAATCACGAGTGGGCCCTCAATCACGAGGAGACGACCAGGCTCTTCCAAGCTTGGGGTTATCCGGAGGTGGACCTCTTCGCGTCCACAGCCAACACCAAATGCGCCCTTTTTTGCGCACGGCGACGCATCTCCCTGCAGGAGGGATGTCTGGGGGACGCGTTCCTACAGGAATGGTCGGGTCGTCTAATGTATGCTTTCCCACCCTTTCCCCTATTGCTGAAAGTGGTGGCGAAACTGCAGAGGGAGAACACGAGCTGCATCCTGGTGACCCCGTGGTGGCCACGGCGGCCGTGGTTCTCCCCTCTACTTCGGATGTCCCGAAGAGTTTTCTTCAGGTTCCCCAACAGGGTGGACCTGTTATCGTCACAAGAAGGCAGGGTGTTTTACCCGGATGTAAAAGATCTACGGCTGACGGCTTGGAGAATACAGCTGAACCAGTAATCCCAATAGCTGCTTTATCCAAAAATATCCAGACTATTTTAGAGGCGGCCCACAAAGCATCAACAAAGAAGTCCTATGTGTATAAGTGGGCTAAGTTTTGTGCGTTTGCGGACACGAAGGGTGAAAGTCCCACAACAGCTCCAATTTCAATTGTGTTAGATTTCCTTGTGTCTTTGGCGGACGCGGGGTTATCCCACTCGTCACTCAAATGTTATCTGGCAGCTATCTCCTGGTTCCGTAGGAAAGAAGGTCTTCCATCTTGCTTCGCTCACCCTCTAGTGAGACTTTTCCTACGGGGAATGGCAAACACTAGGCCTCCAGTAGCCCCGATAGCTCCATCATGGAGCCTTGAATTAGTGCTATCATACTTGACCAAATCGCCGTTTGAACCTTTAGCTACTACGCACATCTGTTACCTGTCATGGAAAACGGTGTTCCTGGTAGCCATCACGTCGGCAAGACGTGCAAGTGAGTTGTGTGCATTAAGAGTAGATCCCCCTTATTTGAGAATGCATAAAGACAAAGTGGTGCTTAGAACAGATGTTGCCTTTTTGCCCAAGGTCTCTTCTTTTTTCCATATGTCCCAAGACATAGTACTCCCTTCATTTTTCCAAAATCCCTCTTCACCTATGGAGCGAACCTTGCACCTCCTAGATGTCCGGAGAGCCATAGCCTTTTATATCGACAGAACGGCAGCACTAAGAAAAACACCACGTTTCTTTATTAAACACCGTAAGGACATGGAGGGCTTGCCTTTGTCGTCTCATAGGTTTTCCTCTTGGATTGTTTCTACTATTAAATTATGCTACCGATTGGCTGGCAAGGACTTACCGTTACAGGTCAAGGGCCATTCCACCAAAATATGAGCACCAGGGCCATGTCAACTACTGCTGCCTTCATGAGAGGAGTGCCTCTAGATGTCATCTGCCGTGCTGCCATCTGGACGAATCCGCTGTCGTTCGTCTCCCACTACAAGCTGGATGTTGCTTCTAAGAAGGATGCTGAGTTCGAGGGCGGTGCTGTTTTCGGCGGTGGCATGACTCCCACCAACCACGGTCAGTAGCTCGCTAATCTATCAAATGTATGATTCGCAGGGACTACGTAAGGAAATTATAAGTTGCTTACCTGTAACTGTAGTTTCCTTAGTAGTCACCTGCGAATGCATACATACCCACCCTCCTCCCCTCAGGTGTCATGCCGCGCCTTCCAGCTGCTTTGCGGCGGAAGAGAACCGACGGTTGGCCCCGCCCACAGGCTATTTATACCAGGGGAAGGGGGCGTGGCCTATCTAACTCATTCTTTTTGCTTTGGAAGGTTCCGAATGCTGCTGCACGAGCGCAGAGAATATCAAATGTATGCATTCGCAGGTGACTACTAAGGAAACTTCAGTTACAGGTAAGCAACTTATAATTTTAAGCTTATAGCTAAAGTATCACTATTTATGGAGACTATTTTGGCTATGTAGTAATCTTATTCAATTTAATCTTGTTTCAATAGGTAATGACATTTACTGTATCATTCGGGAATATTTGATCAGTGGGGATGACAAGATGTTTTCTGCCAATTTTGCTCATCAGGTCTCAGCAGCATTTTTAATGAAGGTATATCAGTGTTGTCTCTATGGTCCATCCTTTAGTTTACTCTTCTCCACAAAGTCTTAATTTCATCTTCTTTGAAATGTTCCATTTGTCATTTCATGGGGGCTTTTTGCTGTTTGTCTGGATATTAACAATTTATAGTGATCACAAAGTGGTATTTAAATAAAAATGAAAAGTATGTGATTTTAAAACACTAAAATTTTGAAATACTAGAATACTAAAAGCAGAAAGAAAGCTTTAATTGATTTTAACTATTACAAGGCCATTGAACTTACGTGTAGGCAGCCTTCTTGATGAAAGCTGCATGTCAAGTATGGTCTGTAGTAGAACGCTCAGGATTTTCTTTATAAGCATGCTCCAGTTGTTCCTCCTCTTTAATTTTCTATCTTCTTATTCAAGAAGAACATTCTTTCTCATCCAGTCCATGTGAAACTTCCCTCTAAGATGCTGAGGCATGCCCACATCTCACCTGTAATGTCTTGATAGACCCAAACCTTTACAAAGAGTACAGTGTGAATGCGAATGCTACCTTGGTAGTTTGTCAATCTAAGAATAGCCTTTGAACCCATGTCAGCTAAATCTTGCTACAGAAAAGCTGCTACCCAGCATTGGAGGAAAAATTCAAATAAGTGTGAATTAACATTTTAGGTTTGGGCGAAGGGAAAGTCATAACCGTAAGTCTGCATTCCTTCCTCTCTCTTTTGCAGGTGAACTTTGAGCCGGTGCCATGGGACTTTTACATCTTGCTGCAATTACGTGAACGGTTAGGTGCTGGGTTTGATCAGAACTTTAGTGACAACTGCACTTGTTTCTTATACCACAATGGATGTGTGACTCTACAAAGAGAGAGAAACTGCACTACAGTCCAGGTTGGTGTGAACAATCTTAAAATTGAAGGTACAACTGAGATGCATATTGGAAAGCATTTTCGTTCCACTACCTACACTATATGGCCATAAATGTATTTATGCCATTATGTGAAAGAACAAGGACAGTGCATAGGCATAGCTAGAAATTATTTTAAGCCTTTTTCCCTGCTGTGCAATTGCAGGACTTCGTATCCTTCTTATCCTTCTATATTTACTGTGAAATAAATGGCAGCAGTAATACACTTTTCTATTTATTGTTGCTTCCATTTTCCTTTTCGTCTTTTGTTTTCCTTGGAATAGAAACCTATTGCAAGAAATCTGCTTTCTCAATGCATTGGATGATGGTAGCCAGTTGATTCTCCACTTCTTTGTGCACCTAATTCTTTAGAATATAGCATACTACATTGAAATCATTGTACAGTGCTTTAGACTTTTTTAACACTCCACTCTCTCCAAAGAAAATATTTCACTGGATCATTTTTACTGTAACCTGAAATATCCACTGGAAAAACAGTTAGAACTACCGTATATAGAACAAGACTGCTTTTAGTAATCTACTAATTCTGGAAGCATCATAAGTTTCTACACAGCTTTTGAAAAGTTATGTAAAATATAGTGAGTGTTTTTCTACCCACAAAATTGTTCAGTCCACTAGTCATATAAATGATAAAAAATACAAGAGATTCATTCATGTTTTAATCAATTAACTGATTAAGGAGAGTAAGATCTAAAGTGCACTCCATGCATGGCAATTCTACATAGATTAGAGGAATCTAGTTGTTTATATTTGTTTAAATTCCATATAGCCCTTGGTATGACTAGTTCTACTAAGTGGTAAATTACTACTGTTGCTTATGCTACCCTTCTTTTTTTCAGGATATGATCCAGCGCTGCAAAGTTATCCCACACGAAGTGGCCATGCTGATTGCTGACAATCTCCTAGAGATTGTTGAAAAATTGCATACAGTGGAGATTATTCATGGAAATCTGCATCCAGAATCTTTGTTCTTAGGAGACAGGTTAGGTGTCCTTTTCCAGTAGTCTGAACTCTTTTGCCCTTGCATTTACACTTTTCATGAATACTGTCTTGAGTTGGTACAGATGATATTTTTAGAAGCTGTCCTGAGTCCCAGCTTTTTAGAAAAGGTGTGGTTTAGATAAAGGAATAGAATATAGCAGAAGACTGACAGGGGAATTGTTGGGCGAGTGGGCCTATTAGTAAAAGACCCTCCTCATAAATGTACAGCAGGATAACTTAGCAGCAGCAGCGTGACTGAGCATCAGTAGTCCAAAGTGATAAAAAGAACAAAAACATAGAGACTAATGCTATATCTTCCACAGGAAGCTTTTCTTTGTAGCAAAATAATATGATTGCATTATTTACAACAACAAGGTTTCCATAACACAAATAAACAAATACACAGTAGCTTTACACACAGCAGCCTTCACACTGGAGCTTTCTCACACGAGGCTTCTCTCAGACAGAGGTTTACCTCACACTGAGTTTACCTCACACTCCTCAGGGCGACACTAGCTTTGGTTCACTGACTCTAACAGGCTTCAGCCTTTCAGTGCTTGACTCACAGTCTTGTAATCAAAAATACCTAGTTAATTTTTAATATATTTGGCAGGAATCTCTTAAAAGATATTCTTTAAAATATTTCTTCATAGCTAATTCTCTTTTAGTTTTGGAATAAACAGAATGTAGCAAGTATTGGATAATAAATTCAAGCCTGACTTTTCATTTCTTCCTGGACTGTCCATGTCTTCTGGCTGAGAATCAAAGCAGATATAATCTAACATCTCTGAAAGCTAGTCCAATTAGTGCTGAAGATTCAGAGCAAGAGACCACAAAGCTAATTCATGGGATCTCATTGTTTAAGGCTTTTGCACTGAAGAGCCTAAAATAAATTTGTATTGACCTATATATAGTGAGCTAATTTTTCTGGCCCTAGTGGGCTGACAATGTATTGTAAATGTAAAGATCATACATCTTTTCAACTGTGAAAAGAGCTGGGAATTTAATCTGAGAGCAGTGTTTAAAAACTTAAGAGCCCACATTTTTGCAGTTTTTTCAAATCTACAGTACTTTGTCACCATAATTTAGAGTTTGTTAGAAAAATACGCTTAGTGTCATTGACAAGTAAATGCACAATGGTGTATAAATAATTGTTCTGTCATGTAATCCTCAGTGCTTCTGTCCCAAGTCATCTCCTCTTTCTGCTGTAAAATTTGTAATGATTCCTGTGGCATATTCGAGACTAACAAATATGTTTGGGAGGCTGCAGGTAAGGGTGTTCATCTCCCTAATGATGGTTTTTGAAAAAGGCTTCATTTTGTACCACTTCTTAAGGCAAGCACTAGAGGGAGACAGTAACATGGCTACAGCCAAATATATGGTCATATAGCAGTCATCACAATTGTGTGTTTGCAAATCTTTCCTCAGAATCTGCAATCCGTTTCTCATGGAAAATGCTACCAGTGCTCTGAAATTAGTGGATTTCTCACACAGCCTAGACTTGAGGCTGCAACCAGGAGTCAGTTCAATAATACACTTTCCAATAGCTCAGACCCAGTATGGGAAACAGATGCTTGATGAAAAATCTCTTCCTTACCAGGTGAATACATGTCATAGGAAATATACTAAAGGAGGGCCTTAGACGGCCTTCTTTCATGTAAACATTACTGTGCTGACCATTTCTGCAGCAAATCATGGCGTTTGGATTTGTGAAGTTGCTGGTGCAAATTAAGCAGTCCTTTTTGTGGTGTAGGGACACCCCTTCACCTTAATCTGTGTTTTCTGTTATCTGAAAAAAAATTGGCAGCGTACAATTCTGAATGTTTTATTCCCATATGTACCTAACTGCTATGACTCTAAGAAGTACTTCTTAACCTGTTTTTACATCACTGCCTAGAAGATGCCACAGAAGTATCAGATGGTGTAGTATTTTTGGAGTGAATAACGTTAATTAAAAAAATTGAAAAAATATACAGTGTAGTGTGATTTAGGTGATAAGCCATGTCAGATTTCAGGACCTGACAGTATGAGGCCTGATGAGTGCTGCTGTCTTTTCAGATTGACTTACTTGGTATTGCAAACACAGTCCATATGATATTGTTTGGGGAAAGTTTGCAAGTGCATCAGGAAGAAGGCTACTGGAAAACTAACAGAGACTTATCCCAGTGAGTATTACACAAACTAGTGAATAATGCTGTACAGTGTTTCCTCACTTATTGTTGGGGTTCTGTTCCAGGACCACCCGCAATACGTGAAAATCCATGAAGTAGGGACACCATATTAATTTTAATATTTATACAATATTTTATATATTATTTTCTTACCCATGCTTCCTTACCCGCCTCCCAGCCCATCCCAAGGGCACCTGCCTGCCTCCCTGGCCTCTGCAAACTCCTGCAGAGCCTCTGGAGCCACGCAGGCAGCAGCAGGCCAGGGAGGCAGGTCTTCCCTGCTGCACCTCAGGCCGCCACTCTTCCGGGGTCTGTGGGGGCAAGGGAAGCAGGATTTCCCCACTGCGCCTCAGGCACACTTCAGGGGTCCCTAGCCTCCACGGGATGAAAATATTTTATATTAATATTTTCAAAAAACCGCGAAACAACGGGTCCGCTAAAAGCGAACTGCGAAGTAGCGAGGAAACACTATACCTACTTGTTGTACTCTTTGTGTTCATATCTACAGATATAATAACTTTATTTAATAAAAGTGGCATAAATGTTAAAAGTCAGCCTTAAACACATTAAGAGTCAGTTTTAACCTATAATTCTAGATGTATTTTTGTGATACAGTTGAGAAGATTATTTCAACATTTGATTTCCTTTAATGTATGCATTTGTTAAAAGGGACATGATTGACAAAAACATCTTTATCTCAAAAAGACACCAGAATAAAAGAAAACATGCATAATATAAATTCTTCTCTTACCTAGGTATCTCCCCTCAATACTTGCCAAAAAGCCCTTTTACCCAATTTATTTCTGGAAGAAATTACCAAACCCTAATATGCTGCCTAATTTACCAATAGCATTATCATTTTTTCACCTCCTCTTCATGTTTTATCTCAAAATATAACCCTCTAAATTTGACAGTCCATTTTTAAAGACATCTGGGACAAATTATTGGCAAGTGGGAGGAAGCATTGGTGTCAGGAACATATTTATAGTTCCTGCCTTCTTATTCTGAGTTACAAAGTGGTAAAAAGCGACGGTGACAGGTTTTTTAAAAAGGGAATGAATACTAGTGTGATTGTATAACTATATTTCAGCACATTTTAATGTTTTGTTTTGTTAAATTGCTGCACACTGTGTTTCCGTGGACTATCAAATCAATGAACAGATACGTTCAAGAAATGAAATGACTGAATACTCTGACCTGATGGATTGAAATTTCTCCAACTAAGCTGTTGGAGGCAAGACACTATAAGCCATGACACCACTGGTGCTTATTGAAAATGTTTTAGAATCTCAGGCAATATACTTGACTGCCTATAATAGACATCTTGAAACTCCAGCCCTCCAGCTGTTTAGGCTACCAAATCCCCAAATTCCTGACCATTGAACAAGCTGGCTTCTGGGAGTTGAAGGCCTAAACAGCTGGAGGACTGGAGTTTGAGGATGCCTAGCCTATAAGGTGGAGTACAGGTTGGAAGGGAAGCCTGAGAGTTGACCTGCCTGTGACCAGGTCCATGGACACCATTCAAAGCCCAAGCCAATTGGTTTCTTAAAAACAATCAGCATAAGACTGGTTTTCAAGATACCCACATGAAGCTTGAGTTTAATATACTTTTTCTGTTCATACTTGTATTACATTGAACTATTTTGCTGAATTGTTTCAAATCAGCAATATACCATACTTTTCTCATATTTTGCTTGAAACTCTGTAAAGTACGATCTACTTTGTAGTCTCCTATTCTTGGGGTGGCAAGAAGGAGCAATCTATTACAATTGGGTTTTACCCCTACGTTTTAACTGGAATGGAAGAATCCAAAATTCTTCTTCAGTTGAGCCATTAAGCCCCTGCTCCCTCTTCCAACAGTTTTTTTTTATTCTGCCTAACCAACTGGTCATGTTTGCCCTTCTCTGAGAAACTTATAAGGCAAGGGTGTTACTAAGGATAAATAATAAGAGTCACAGTTTTTTCAACTGTAGTGGTGGAGTCAAAATGGTGTATAGACATTTATTTGATGCAGATTGACCCCTTTTCTTGTCAGCTGTTCTGACAAATTACTGTATGTTTGAACAAGTTATGCCTATTCCAGTGCAGAAACTTCAGAGTTAGGAGAACAGATCTATCCCCCTCCCCCCCCCCCCCCCAAAAAAAAGAGGTATTGAGTATGTGTGTATCTATAAAGAGGAAAGCTCAAGGATGAAGTAGCTATTTGGTATCACAGAAGGGCTTAAAATATATTATTTTGCATGAGCAGTTATATTTCATGGAGATGACTCATAGTGTGGGTGTGATGAGTTTGCAAGGAGCCAGTATGCTTATGGTGACTAGAATGTTCAGAATACTGCAAAAAAAATACTTTTGCCAAAACAGTTGCGTGTGCAGGAACTCCTTGTTCCTGCCTTTAAGCAGATGGATAAGTTACACAGGTGGAAGATTTCCAGCTGGACAGACACATTTTATTAAGATGTTTTCGTTGACATTGTTTCTGCCTAGCTGAATCTGGCTTGCAGAAATCGAAGTACTAAACCTATTTGCTTAATGCAAATTAAAATTATAATGCTATTTCCATTTATTTCATTCCTTTCAATTTCATTATGAGATTTCTCTGATAGCTGAGTGCTCCAGGTGTCCAAAGGAAAAGACACGCAAACCTGTCAAAATTACAAAATAGATTTTCTATATGGCATTTTCTGATGCACGCTAACACTCCCTCTGTATTTTTCATTTTTCACGGTAGCTAAAGATGACAAAGAATATTACAAGGGCAAGTGGATGGGCTTATGGAGAAAGAATAGACCCTTCCTCACCAGTTTGATTTCCATGCTTGACTGTAGTTGAAGGGAAACATCTACCTTGGTCACCTAGGGCTCTATTGGCATTTAAAGGGGAGAGGGGCAGGAATAGTTGAGGTTCGTATTTTGTATTTGTTTTGCTGACTATGGGGGAGGGAGCCAGCACCTCCTCAGACCATAGGCTGGTAACCAAACTACAGGCTGGAATCTTCTGTAAACTCATTTCCCAAATTGTAAGACAAGGTTGTCCTTTAAGATTTCCGGTGTTGCTCATATAAATTTATACTCTACTGTCATGGAGGTGGAGCAGTTTCTTTACATAGAAACACTGCAGGCTGAACAAGCTGACAGTGAGTAATACCTCAGTCTTACCAATTTGAGGCATTATTGCATAACAAAACTTAGTGTGTTAGATGAAGCACACAAAACTATTTCCCATTTTAAAATGAGGTAATTCAGATATGGTACAGTCAACTCTTGAAACTAGAAAGGAAAATTCTTACTTTAACTATCATCTATATTGCATTAAGGTGTAAATTAAACTTTATGGCTTTTAGTCCTCACTTGTTTGTCATGTTTCTTATACATTCTAGAATACAAATAACTAGAGTAAAAAAATTCTTAGTATGCTTATATTTCCTTAAGCAAATGTGAAATTTGTTGCAGTACTTGATGTAACATTCCAAATATATGTGGTATCTTTTCCCACTAAAAAATAATTTTACATCAGGAGAATTAAAAATAAAGCAGAGTAGGAATCATGTGATCCTGCCTATCTTGTCAAGACTACCATTCCAAACTTTGACTAGGCAGGCCAGAATGTATTGTTGTAGTCCAGCAATATCTTGCTAGTTCTTCATTGTTTGCTTCAAATATCATGTTCGATTAGTTTACTCAAAGGGTAATCAACCAAAAAGAGGATATATGTATCAGTTGAGGCTCTTCGATCATAGATACCAATGTGAATTTCAACTAATGGGGTGATTTAAACAAGCAAACCTGATACACAAGCTCCATATGTGTGTGTATGTATATGGGGGGGGGGGGGCTGATTGTGTGACTTGTGTACCAGGTTTGCTTGTTTAAATCACCTCATGGTTGAGATATCTATCTATCTATCTATCTATCTATCTATCTATCTATCTATCTATCTATCTATCTATCAACCATGGGGTGATTTAAACAAGCAAACCCCACATATATATGGTGAAAATTAGTAATCTACCAGTTCTTCAAAGTCTAGCTTTGTAGTTGTCTATAGCTTGTTCTTAGTACTAGATAATCTTCAGAATTTTACCTTGGGTTTTGAAATAGTATTTATTTGCACTGCTCTTATTCTACTTTTTTAGCTGCCTACCCTTTGTTTGGGAACCATAATTCCCAAATGTGTATTTACAGTCGCTGTTGACAATTCTGTTTTTTCTTTAAATTCAAGACAACTTTATCCTTACAAATAAGCATGAGAGACTCTACTGAGTGCAACCTGAAGATTTCTCCAAGTAAAGGCATAAAAGCCTTAAGAGAACTAGGTAATAGCTCTGACCACAGCAGATATTTTAGCAACTGGAATATACCTTTGACTCCCCTTTATTGATCCAACATTTGTTATGTATTTATTGATAAGTTCCCTAAAAGCATTTGTACTAAATATTATGAGATAGAAATTTAATGATAACTAAATGACTTTGCTAGGAATCCAAATACTGTTTTCAGAGGCCACTGAAATTACAACTTTACCAAGAATTCTGAAGCATCCATTATGTGACTTACAAAATAAACTCTTTTCAATCTGCTTTTAGGTTTGTTGACAGCGATTTGTGGAGTAAATTCTTTGGGAAAATTCTGAATGGAAATAATGAGTTTACTGTGCCTCTTCTGAAAGAGCTGAGGGAGGAATTGAGCGGTGAATTTGACAGTTCTTTCTCAGAACGCCTCAGTGATTATTTGACAAATCTGGAAGGCATTCCTCATGTTGAAAACACCTTCTGAATTACAGAAAATATATTTATATTATATCCTGGAATTTCTAGTTGCCTGGCCACCCTTTGTCACCCTTTGGTGAGCAAAGATACATGCTTCCTTCTTTTTCAGGTGTATAAAAATGGAACAATGTTCACAATAATTTGTTCATGATTTATTCAAAGAATTCTAGTTGATGCCTTAACTATATGTACTGTTTCTGTCCTTTGACAAGCCTCCCTGTACCTTTAATGCCTACTTGTGTATAGTTATTATGTGTTCAACATCAATCATTTTGTGACAACACGAGTTCTTCATTCTGTTTGTAAATTTATCACCTATTCTCTTATAGTCTTAGTTTAATAAAACTTTTGCAACCACACTATACTCATATATGGTTTTCCCAGTTTGCAGTCTTCTTTCTGAAGTTATTGACAATGTTGAACTTAGATGATTGAAAGGTTTCAGGTGCTGCTGATAGTTTTTTTAAGCCGTTTTCATAGCCATTGAAATCCACCAGGGTGACCTTGGTTAAATTACATACTCTCTCAGCCTCAGATGAAGCTCCCATCAGCACACAGTACAAATAACAGCAGTGGCATGGCAGTCTGGACCCTTTCCACCACTTCACTGAGTTACTTTACAACAATTCCCTATGCCAGAGTTTCTCAAACTGTGCTCCTCCAGATATTTTGGATTTCAATTCCCATAATTCTTAGCTGCTGGTAAGCTGGCTGGGATTTCTGGGAGCTGAAGTCCAAAACACCCGAAGAAGCACAGTTTGAGAAATACTGCACCATATTATTGCTAATTATGTGTATAATGTGTCATTATTTGGCCCTAAGATGGCAGATGTGTCAGCTGATTCAGCTGACTTGGATTAATGGGCAAGTGCACATTGAAGTGCATCACTCCATCATCATCACACAGTTCTGTATCTATAATTTAGTTGGTTATGACTATTTCAGGAATGTGATTAGTTCTTGTTTTATTTGGCAATCTTAACTGCCTAAATCTGCATTTTATGAGAATAACATGTGGCTATAAAACAATCTGAAAGAGGCGTATATAACTAAAGTATCTTTAGTTTACTTGTGGAGAGTGTGTCTAACATGTACAGCTCTAGCTCAATATTTATAATTAAGTAAATTTCATGTTACCATACCCCCTCCCTCCTTAAGCTGCTCTGCAGTGATTTGATCTAAAAGGTTTCTTGGATCTTCCATGGATTCACTGAAACTGATTTGTGGTATCATTGGACTTCTTAATACTGAGCAAAGCTGGTTGTGGGATGGGTCCAATTCTCCACAAAGCAGGAGTTGCATGCACCACTTTTGTAATAAAACAACACTCTTTACTATCTATACCACTTATATCTGAGTTAGTGAAGGACTAAATCAGAGCATAAGTAGGCACTTCCACAAACATATTCTGAAGCAATTAGAGATGTAAAGTCCAGGGAAAATGGATTGTAGAATATTTTTGCATTTGAATTTGATAAGAGAATTCCAAATCAGAAGCCTCAAGCATTAAACAACATACACTCAAACATTTAAACACATGTAACCTGGAGTGCCCCGGCAATATGTACAGCCTGTTGGGCATGCTGTTGCATTTTTGCTTACCTGTCCTAGGTCTTACATGAACACCGTTGCATCTTAAACTGTGTTGGAGCTGTTGGATACTAGTTTTAGCCAGATTCCTGTAATCTCAACACCATGTGTGATCTCCCCTAGTGAAATGTGAGTGTCCACAATTAACTTACCAGACTCTTCATAGTAAAGGCTTTGGTATAGCCAGTGAAATCATGGATTAATTCATCTCCTAGCACTCTCCATCCTCTCCAACATAGTTTTGACAGTGCATTATTGGTCCTGTGAAACTTGAGTGGATAATATATGGATACTTTTTGACATGTTCTCTAATTTGAGCTGATACTGAATTATAAAGTGTTTTACTCAAATCTAACAGTGCACACATCGGAAATGAAACAGCCAGGTCAGGTAAGCCTTCCATAAGCAAGCCAAAGCATTTTGTGCCCACTTGAAAACTTCTCTCAAAATGTACCCAGATTATTATTTCTTTCACCAGCCTTTTCTTTGACGATTTCCATTTCGGTGGCCAAACATAAAATCATAAAGTTAGAAGAGATCACAAGGACCATCCAGTCCAACCCTCTGCCATGCAGAAACACAAGCCTTATGTTTTTAAAAACCATGCTGAAGTATTTACTAAAGCAAGGTAATGGATTTCTTTTTCCTGTAAGGGATTTCAGAGGCTGTTCCTTGGTCAGCAAATTTAGTGGCTCAGCAGTTTAATCTCCTGCACCACCCGGGGCTCCTACTTAGTTCATATTCATGCAAAAATCTGTACCTTCTGTAACACTGAGTGTGCCAGTAAACAGGTATAACTAACAGGCTGCTTATAATTAATTCCTTTCCCTAATAACAAAAATATATGATTAAAACTTAATAAGGAGATATACCTTTTGAAGTGTTATTGTGAATTTTGGGTACTTTTATATAGCATATACGTAGATGTGGTCATGCAAGATGGAGAAAGGCTCATGTATGACCCATGCTTTGTTATGGCATTTTGAGAAACAAAAGTAAATAGTTACTTTTCAAATTGCAACAGCAATTAACTACCATTTGGGGCCTGCAATTAAAACTTCAGTGGGCCTTTGGTTTCCCCTTGGGTTTGATTCCAAGACCCTCTGTGGCTACCAAAATCCATGAATGCTTAAGTCCCATAATTTACAGTGGTGAAGTAAAATGGTATCTCTTATATAACATAGCAACATCAACGTTTGCTTCTCTGTTTTTTGAAAAATATTTTCAAGCCATGTATAGTTGAACCTGTGGATACAGAGGCCTGACTGTAGCTAATTACCTTATCAAGCGGCAAACTCTGCTGACAAATTATTGGCTACAACTCTTGGTGTTACCACAACCCTCCATCTTGCATGATGGCTTTCTCTTTGATTCACTTGCCTCTTAGGGTTCTTTTCTTTATATATCAAATTCAGTATCACCACATTAGAATACATACACTTTTGAGGATGATGCAGCCAGTTCTCTGCTGAGTGTACCTAAAATTCATGCATTACCAAATAAGTGTTTGTTGCATTCACAGTAGCAGAAGAGGGGAAAATCCATTAAATTCACAAGGGAGCTAATCATAATGTCGGTAGACCACAAGACAGCAAATATATGTATTTCTTCAGTTCATTATTAGATTACAGCCATGAGCAGTAACTCTGGATGAACTTGTATGTGATACAAGTTCATATACTGTATACTGATTAATATATGCAGCTACCGAAGGCTTATATCTTTTGTCTAAAAAATGAAGAATGATCAATATATTGCATGATATATCGTCCATAAACGTACCTGCTTACATTTCCCTACCATTCCACAAAATATTAATGACCCATTTGAGACTGTATGGCTTTCATGTGTAACCTTGTTGCCAATTTTCTTTAGATCACATCTAAGAAGTGAAAAGACAAGCCATGCATTAAAAAAAAACTCTGCTCCTTCCATTATTTTACAGTTATGTCGTCTTAATTTTTAAGTGAAACTGACTTCATGTTCATAGGCAGATAGACAATAGGCAAAAATTAGTTAAATCCATGAATTGTTAATTTTTATGGGAGTTTTTTTGTGCCACCTTCCTACAAAGCTACTCTGCCCTTGCCTGTTTAAAAAGTCTAACATTTCTATATCTGTCTCTAGTCATGTATCTGATTTCCCTAATAATAAATATTCCAGAATAGCCTTTGGCTAAATTCTAGCATTTGGTGTGCAGTGCTGCATGCTACAGTGCTGGGGAAAATCCCCAATGGTGCTTGCATGAACTAACCCTTTGTGGGTTTTTTAAAAAACCAGTTAGGTTTGTCCAATATTTTTGAAGCCTGAAATATAATTTCCCCTTAGGCAGTAATTACTAGAATATTGTACAGCACTGAGTACATACAGTCTCACAGCAGAGTGTACTTAGCAAATGTTGTCATGTGCAGGAGGCTCTTGGAGGATTCCCATTTCTCTCTTGCACAAGACACCACATCTAGAAGACTATCATCCTTGAGCTACAAGGGATCGCCTAAGTAAGTAAATAAGTAAGTAAGTAAGTAAAGTCATAATAAATTCAGGAACATATACCTTAATAGATATTGGTGTTGTACTGTAATTGTTTTTTCCCCCAGGGAGTTGGAAATACACTCTGTTCTAATAAAAATAACAGAGTATAACACTTTCTAGCAGAAGGTGTTGTTTCATATGTTCTCCTGTGAACCCTATGAAAGTAATGTAAATGGCACTTACATAATTGCCAAGTTATAAAGTTGCCATTGGCTGAGTGAGTCTTTTCTAGTTGGCATAAACAGTAACTAAAGCTGTTCCAGTCTGAACCCAGACATTAAAACACTTAAATGGGTTCAGACAATTTCTTTCTTCCAAGACTATCTGAAGTTGCCCAACCACCATAGGCTCAAGCAACTTATTTCAAAAGAGGTACCTACATTAGCAATGAGTGGTTGTTGCCACAAGAATCTGTAGCCAGGAAGATTCTCTTCAAGAAAGAATGCATCATCATGTCTTTCAAGGTCGAAAGTATCTTCCTCTGACATAGTGAAAGACTTGCCATGTCCTGCTACCACCCCATTCACCCAGTCCTGCTGGAATTCAACGACCAGGATTGGCAAGTGTCATGCTTATATGTGATAAGAGGAACTAATGCAAATCTTTTGTCCTCATCATCAGGGGCTAATAACCAAAACTGATACCAAGAAACCTGATGAGGTGGAGCACTGGACTCTTTCATAGACTGTGGTGTCCAGTTTTTAGCAAATAAAGCAATTCCTCTTTGAAGTACCTTGCAAAGCTGTCACAGGAGGCAACTGAGAACTCCAGCTGGATCTACACTGCCCTGCATCCCAGGAGCGGATCCCAGATTATCTATCAGTGCAGACTCATATAATCCAGTTCAAAGCAGATAATCTGAGATCAGATCATGGGATATAGGGCAGTGTAGATCCAGCTTCAACTGCTGGTCTCTAAAGCTGAAGTTCTTCACCACTTAGAATAGCTCTGCTGATTTTCACGTTGATGATGGAATAGTGGAAGCAATTTTTTTTAATTTTTTTTTGGGGGGGGGTGTAGGGGGCAACCTCATAAACTGCCCAATAGTTGTGGAAAAATTGCATTCATAATTTTTTGAAAAGGAAAAATGATGTCATATCCTTTTTGGCAAATGTGAATCTCCATGAACATCTGGAGACCACCTTTTGAAAACCACTAGTCAAAGAAAGGCATGACCTCTTAGAAGTCAACCCTTTGAAAAAGTGATGTTCACAAGCATTCATGTAATAGCACACAGGTA